GCCTTGCAATTGGCTGGCAACCGGTTCAGGATGTCCCCGAAAACAGCTGGGATAGGCTCCACCACGCCCCGTGACCCTTGTGAGGATAAGCGCATCACAAAATGGATGAATACATGAATAACAACATATAACATATACACATTGATGTTTGTGCATTTTCATATCAATTTGAGCAAAATCAGATGCGCGCTCTTCATGCATCCATGAGGCGCTGGATCGGTACTTGCTATCGACAGATCCTCAAAAAACAAAGACTCAGACTCGGGTCCCAAAAAAAGCATGAGTGGGACATCCCTAGTGTGTATTTTGAATGTTGTCTAACAGATCATAGCCGTGCGACCCTCGTGAGGATGATGTAGTTCAGAAAATGGATGGATGGGTGGATATTTTACATGTAGCTCTTCACTAGTGTAGTTGTGGACTAGTGCACAGTTTTTCCTCACTCTTATGGCAAATAGTTTTTCTGCTAGCAAGTCCTAATCCTTCGACCAGTGCGCGGAAATATCATACAGTAGTGGGTGGCGGGGGGACTTTCACTCGTAAGACTTAATTCTTGTAGTTGTGCACTGAATTGTCCTGCTGGTGTGGTCGAAGAGCAAACTTTTAATGGATACGAAGCGCACTGGTCGTATGTTGACTGAATGCTCAAATGGCTTGTCAAACACTTTGCCTTTGTAAAACACTCGACATCTAGAAGAACCTGCTTCAAAGTAGTTGATGCAGCCAATACATTGCTGGCACTACAGTATTTAACATTCCAAAATGTGTCTATACAGTACAAAATGTATCATTTAAACTCATCATTCGCCATACGACAGTGTGACAACTGCTGCAGACTTTTCATGTTTGCCGTCGGCACTTCCTGAAGTATTTCAGTTTGAGATGCTGCAAGTGGATGTTTTTCCGATCTTGCCGGCAGTTTAGAGAAGTAGCGCCTGATTAGCGTTCGAACTGGAGCGGCCGTTTTGCGCGGGCTGGCCTGCTTCCTCTTCCTCAACTTAATGACAAGCCTCCACGGAGGTCTACACTGCTGCTTACCATAATTAGCCTGCAGCCTTAGCCTGGACTGATTGGTGGTCAGACAAACGAGCGTTGCTTCGAGCCCCGCTCAGCTTTTAAAACATTTTAGGCGCAGTGGCCGCTGTTGATTGTTCATATCAACAAATCTCCTCAGGGGATGTAGCGCTGAGAGGAGTCTCTGATTGCCTTGTCATTTCTTTGAGCACACCTGGCTCTCTCGAGGCGCCCTCTGCCGCAGTTGAATCAGAGCACTTCAATTAACACATGAATGTTCTTTTCACTCCATGGCAACTGTCTCTGCAATAATATGCTGTTGTTGATTTAGCTGCTCAGGTCAATGCAAGGAACTCTTCATTTAGACAAAAGTAGTCATTTACCGCTGTCGTAGAGCTGCTATAAGCAGTTGAAGTACTTGACAATCCTATTTTTCATGGCAGGTCTTTGCTAATAACGGCAGTTATTCGAAAAAGGTTGCGGCTAGCTATTTTTTTTTTTTTTTTAAGGAACAATACAGTCTGGTGATTATCCCATTGATAATTTTAGTTTTGGGATAAAAATCAAATTTGCAGTATGAAACCAAACATGGAAGTGAGGTGCAGATATTATTATTGTCAATTTGAGGTCCCCATCCTCACAATTGTATTGTAGTATCTCTAACTTTAAGTGTGTGTGGCTTAAAAAGCTGATGACTGGCCTGCTGAGTCATGTCGACGTCGGTGAGTGAGAGTGTTGAATAGGAATAAATAGCAGAAGCAACTAACTGTTAGCATCTCTGGTAGGGATTTAAAAACCCTTTTTTATCGTTGTCGTTATGGCGAATGAATAAATTATGAAAGAGGTTAGATGTTGACGCTTGTCGGCAGATTTGGGAGGAATAGCTCATGCCGTCGAGCTAACAGGGATTGTTCAGGTGTACCGCATGAAGTGTACACTGTGGTCAGTGTATTTATTACATTGCAAATATGAGGTGATTGATTATCCGGCACTTGCTTTGTTCATTGTCTCATCTTAATGGAGCCATGAGTCATCTTGTCCACATCCTCCTTTCATCCACGCTCAGCATGTCACTTGGCAACAGTTGCCCTGTTGCACACCATGCTTGGCATCTATTTATTGATCTTGTATTTCTGAAGAAAAGAAAATCTTAAGTGAGTCATTATGGAATCTGTGCTCTTGTTTTCTCCCTGCAAATGTCCCTTCAGCACACAGCGGCTGGCTGCTTTATTCTGTGTTTTCTCTATAGAGGGACGGATAATGCTGAGAAGACGGGTCATACCCTAATTACAGGACAGTATGTGCAAGTACTTGCCTCATGTTTCACTGATCTCAACAGTGTCACATTGCGAGAAAGAGCCATTCAATAGTGTTGTTGCAACATTTATTAGGCGCGTTACCGTAAGCTTTTAAGTCAGGGGTGTCAAATTCAAGGCCCTGGGGGGCCAGATCCGGCTCGCCGGGTCATTTTATGTGGCCCGCGAAAGCAAATCATGTGTGTCAACTTGCGAAAATCTGTACCGAAATGTCAAATTGTTATGTTAATAAATCACATTGAGATTTCCCAATAATTTTGTGACCCAGTTTACACTCACGTGAACAAAAATTGAACAAACCATTATAATTGACTTGACTGATTTCAAAACTAGTAATCTATTAATTTGTTGTGTCCAAGTAATAATTTTGTGGTTTCACGTCATAACGGCCCTCCGAGGGAAAACGCAACTCCAAATTGGCCCGTGGCTAAAATGAGTTTGACACCCCTGTTTTAAATAATTCACTGCTGTGGACGTGTGTATTCCCCACCTCGAATCCAGTTTACTGTAACTGACAAATATTGGTCAAGGATGTTTTTTAACGGGGAGGCATGCAAGAGGGCCTCGCCGAGCTCCTCTGTGAAATACAGGTTTGGAAATCACTGTCATGATTTAACAGATTTTTGTCGTTGGCGGTGTTACATGGCATTGGATGAAAGGCGTCACTCATGGCACAGTTCTTAGCTATATATCTAAATATATTATTCTTTTGACACCAAGAGAGCTTTCTCAGTATTTGCTTTTTGTTTTATGGTTTGAGGTGGAACAGAACAGAATATTTTGTGGGTCTTGAAAGATCAGTCAAAATGTTCAAAAAGGGGAAGTTACTTCTAAATGTTTACAGAAACTGTATTCTGATTAATATTGTGTTTGTGGACTACATCTTAAGTAGCGAAGATAAGGACATCAAAGTGATCTGGGCTCAGCTAATCACTGTCATGGCTCACCTGTTTTCTGAGTTTTGGTCATGTCATGTTCGCAAGCTGACCCCTTGGGCACTATGATGTCATTTCCAGTCGACATCAGAAATCAGAATACCGTGTTCAGACTTGTGAGGGCACGTAGAACATATTCCTGTCAAGAAAACTTGGGAATTGAGTTCCGCTTTAAAACAGTTGATAATTCGCGGAACTCTGTTTTCACAGAAGCTGCCAGTGAGCTTGTTCGATCATTTTACTGAGTGTCTCTTGTGCTTTTTCCTCAAGAAATAGAAACATGACTTGACACTAGTCTCATCTTATCCGCACACAGTGCATCATTGTCAGGGCTGCTGCAGAATCTGAATGAATGAATGAATGATTGGGGTTGGAAGCAGCCTCGTTTTCATATCACATGACAGAAGATCTAATTTGCCTACTTGTCAGCAATTCAGTGGTGCTGAGAGTGCACCGCCGAGAAATGCAGCGAAGACGAAGCTGATGCAGCTCGATCATGTGCTGTTTCCTTCCTACTATGTCTGCTATGCACCAGTTTCCATTGGTTGAACAGGAAAGTGCTCTTCCAAACATTTAACAGTGTTGTTGGCCCTCGGATGTTTGTAAAGTTGGAAGGTGACACTTAACGCCGAGTCATCGTTTCTCTGGTGCGAGTATTGCGTTTTTAAATTAAAATGAGGAAAGTCTCTGCGAACAATTTGGATTATGACTGATTTTTCACCTAAGATGTCACTTTGAAACTGCAGCCATAGACTCCGATTTTTTCCGGTGTCCTGCTCTCAGAAAGTGTTGAATGCAGTGTGTAGACTGGGCCGTGGCCTGGGTCTGATAGCTGAATAGCTGGATTGTTCTGCTCCAAAACCAGTGAATCACTCCGCAGCCATCATTTCTGTGCGAAAAGAAAGCACAGAGAAAACTGATTTGAAATCTCGTGCATGCTCATATCCCTCCGCTGTCTGACATCACGTCTTTTCTTTTTTTTTTATTTTCTCTCCAATTAGTGGTTCTCAAATTGGGCTCTGCAAGCCATCGCTTGTGGGGCAACCAAATAATTAGATATAATACCTGTTGTTTATATGGTACATAACCAATTATGAGAGATATGAAAACTTGTGGTGCTCTCAAGAAGCAGTCTTGTATTTCTTTTGACTGACTGGATTTTGGATTTAGCACGCACAGGTGATATAAGCATCCTATGTGTAAAGTATATCCACTGGATTCCTCATTCTTCCTCGTCTCGGATTATTTCTTCGTGTCTTATGTTTGTCCTCCTTTTATATAAATGCAACATAACTCATGCCGTTTGGTACAGGCTACATTTAAAAACATGTTAAAATTGTCTTGAGTGAAATTTTATGACCTGAAGAGTGCTTGCTTTGAGTGCAAATTGCGCCATGTTCAAGAATTTTGTTTTATTTTTATTTTTAACAGTATTTCATAGACACTATCAAGTATCAGTTGTCAGTATTGGCCAGTACTGAAATGTTAAGTATTTGTCCTTGCGCTTGGTTTGAAATCAGTGGCATCGTGAATCTACCAACTCAGAGCTCTGAAATATGAATTTGGTCATGTAACTGACTTTTTTTCTCTCTCTCTAAATTGGGCAGCTTTTTAAATGGGCAACAAGAAAGTCGCAATTAACTGATGTTAAGATCATGAGGTGGGTGTCTCCTCTGTAAGGGGACTCAAAAAGTTGGGAATCTCTGATCTAAATTGTGCACTTTCCCTGGTCCAGCTGCAGCCGCGCAGGCCCAAGCCGAGGAGCGGCGCAGCCAGGCCGTGAGTCCAACACCTCCAGCAAACACAGCGGCCAAACCTCAGGGCTGTCGGCCAGGTGAGCCCCTCCGAATGCAGACATGACTTTTTCGCCTGGCGTAGTTTCTGAAACATTTGCTACCAAACTATCCAATTGTCTCCCCCTGCTCTGCAAGGCTTACTGCAGGGTAGCCCTGAGTCATCACCTTACTACTTGACAAGCTCATTAATGATAGCCCCCCACCAGCACTCACAACTTGGTGCAAAGCTCTTACTGTAATATGGCAGTGTAAGCTGCAGCCTCCATCTGTATCTTTTTTTTTTTTAACCATGTTGACGCACGTGTTTGCAGTCCTTGACGGTGCCACGCTTCGAGTGGACGATCGACTGCGAGTAGCAAAGGAGAGACGAGAGGAGGCAGACAGGCAACAAGGTAAGGAGACACAATCGATTTTGCTTTGCCTTTACTTAAAGCTAATATTGTTAAGATAATCTTGGAAAATGCAGGCTTTTATTCACGACCCACAAAATGTTAGGCCCTCTGCACTGTGAGGGACACAGCCCAACGAGACTCGTCACACACCAAGAGAATGAGCGCCACACGTCTACCGACGCTCTGCAATGAAAAGAACTGCTTTATGTTGAGTGTAGGCACTCCCCATACAGTATACTTTACTCGATTACTCTATTGAAAACCGAAAGCATGGCATGGCATGACTGCCAAGAAAGAAGCAGATTGCCACAAAGTTGCTTGGTGAGTGGCGGGACTTAAACGCTTGACAAAAAAATCACAGTTGGCCACTCAACCCTGCGCATTGGGCAATTTAGCATACGAACTCCTTGCGATGCCAATGTCGCTCTGATGCTCCTCATCCAGTATGTCATTGTCACTTTGACTTCTTTTTTCAAGGAAGATGCACATTGCAATAGAAAGAGGACATGGGTGAGAATAATGATGAAAAAAGGGCAAATACCGCATTTGAATTTAATTGACACTGTACATTTGTTTGTTTATTGTTTATTGAACATATAAAAATATACAGTAGAGTAATAAATTGACAGAAAGTGAACGTAAGTACATACTCCGCTCGTGCATATTTTTACCACAAGCTTCGGTATTTCATCCTCGGGTACTAATAAAATCATAAATATTGTTAAGTATTGTTGTAAAACACAACATATTTACTGTGCCTGTAAATACTTATTTATTTTGTTTGGTGTTGCATGCTGGGCGGCTGTGTCTTGCTTGCTTATAACCCATATCTGAATTTTCGCCTGGGTGGAATCATCCATGGGTTTTGATTGGCTATAATCTGCCACGGTGCCACATTATGCCACTGTGATTCGATTTTTGAATCCCCGCAAATAAATCCCATGTCGTGCTCAAGGGTACTTCCAAAGCTGGGGGTTAAATCTTCAATCTTAGAAAAGCAGTTTACCCCCTCAGTCAAGCCACAGCAATTGGCTGACCAAATCCACTTTTCTCCATGACAAATGCTGTTTGTTGTTCGACAGAACACTTTTCGATTCCTCAAGAGTCCATCCAGTTGGCGACTTTGGTGATGTAATGCTTGCAAGCAGCTGCTTTGACATTGAAAGTCAGACCCTGAACCGCCTGACACACAGAGTTTATGCTGATTTTCATACCAGAGGAGGCTTCAATCCCCCCTGGCGACTTTTGCATACTTGTACACAACCGCACTCCAGCTTTATATGCTGGAGTGGCTGAACGGAACTTACAACGTAAACGTGGCATATCTAGAATGTAAGAAACTGCGGGACTGAATTTGTTTGTCTATATTGTGTCGACAAACAAACATTTTTTTTTAAATTGGAAAATTAAAATGACCTACTCTGTCTGTCTTTTTCATCAGCATTGCGTGAGTCTCAGATCATGGAGCGCGAGCGCAAGGCCAAGATGCAAGTGGAGCGTCAGCAGGAGGAGCGTCACAAGAAGGCCGCGGAACAGCGCAGGAAAGAGGAGCAGAAGCGTCAGGCTGTGGAGGAGAAGAGAAAGCAGAAACAGGAAGAGGAGAAGGTAGCTAACGGAGGAGCTCTGTGTCCTTGGCATGTTGCGCTTATCAATGAGCAAATGGACAAGATCTCTTCTTTTTATTAATGAATTATTTTTTTTGTATGCGGCAGGAGCATTATGAGGCAGTGATGAGACGAACGCTAGAGCGAAGCCAGCGAGCTGACCAGAGACAGAAGAGATGGTCCTGGGGAGGATTGTCAACAGACTCGGATGGACGAGCAGGTAATGGCTGATTTGTTTTGTTTTGGGCCATTAAAACACTGTCGATTGCATTTATGCACTGCAAGCGCAAAATGAAGTTGGAAGTGATGGAATTGGAAGTGTTTGTGGAAGAGGCAAAGAGAGTAGTGAGTTAGAGAAAATAATTTGATAGCTCCGATAATTTTTAACTCATCCTGAGTGTGTGGCGATTGGATCAACAGGAATATGCCCATGAAAATTGTGTTTAAAATATGGGACAAGATACCCAGAAACGTGCTCAGGGAGAAGCCAGCACCAATTGTCACAGTGCACTGAAGTGAGACCCAGACACACCAAAGTGCAGATTTGAAAGACGTTTTAAATGGCATAACTCCTTGTGACTGGCTCCAAGACAGCCCTTAGATAATTTTAGACGCTTCAAAATTGCATTGCTGAATAGAAGATATGTTGTAAAAATTTATGTTGGTATTTCCCCAAAAAAATTTTATGAATGGAAAAGGATGGCAGTGCATGGCGTGACTACCTTTCTTTTAGACACGCTGTAAGATACAAATTCAGCCCCTGCAATCCGTTTTAGGTACTGCATACAAATTTTGCCCATTTGGCAGATTCAATCCTTGCTGTGCCTGGTTAGTAGATCAGCTTCTGCATCTTTTTGTGTTCGTTTTGCATGCACGAAGCTTAAGTAAATCGGACACTGAATCAAGAAACACTCAGGTGTGACTTTAAATGTTCCAACAATGTAATGACATTGTTTTGGTAAGCTCAAATTTACAAATTAGATGCTTTATGGGTGTTGCCCAACTTTGGATTGATCCTCTGTCTTTTATGCTAATACGCACAAAACGTGAGGGATATTGGGCCTTAGGGGGAAATTTCAGGATGAACCTATAATGCACAAGAACCTTTAAATGTCAACTTCATTTGACCTTATCAAAGCTTTTTGAACGCACATGTCCAGGAGTCAAATGTTTCAGCACTTTTTACTCAACTTGCTGTTCATTAACTCATTCACTCCCAAAGACGTTTTTAAACGTCTTTTCAGACTTGGTCCAGAATTGGCTGGTACTGAATGAGTTAACAAGGAGCTGAATAGCAAAGTCACACAAGTGTTTGAGCTTTTAAAATGTCTTGTATCCCTTTCAGTCACTCTTTCAGTCTCTCTATATCTCTGTTGCAACCTGCTGATGACACTCTTTGACACTCCAAGCTCAGTGGCCACTTTCCCATGAGAACATCCGTTTTAAAGCCTTGTTGTGGTAAGGTACTGTTGATGATTTTTTTTTTTTTTTTTTGGGTGTCATCTTGGTCTCATGATGAGAAAATGTGAACAACATGATGAAGTGGACTGTTAAAATATAATTTGTAATTGAACCATGAATGGAAAAGGCCCATTCATATTTGTGACACCGGAAATTTGTTGAACAGATCCCTGTTGTGGAAGTTGTGCTTAAAGTGCTGAAACACTGAACAGTTGGGACGTGTGTATTCAAAAATTGAGGTCACCCTAAAATTGGACGACCTGTCATCCCTTTATTGCTGTGAGTAAAGCAACTTCACTGAAAACTGAATTCCTCTATTGTTGACATGGGGCTCTCATATTGTGACTTTAAACACTGTGGGGGGCTTGATGGCTGCCAGCCATGCATCACCTTCATCTCACTGTGCCGGGAAGTGAGATCACCACTGCCTCATGTGCTCTATTTCCCCCAGCCCCCTCTCTGAGAGCTTTCTTTCCCCACAGGAGACTCAGATGCCAGTGCCTCTTCTCCAGTAGCTATAGTAATCTCTTCTGCCTCACCAGAAAAGCCACCAAGGAACCAACAAGGTTTTATTTGCGATTTGCCCACCAGTCTAAATCCGCAGCATGCGGGCACATGTTGGTGCTCTGGACACTTGGGTTCCTCACACAATCTTCTGCAGCCTAACACCAACGGTTAAATAGAGGAAACCACTTTTGTCAGTGTGTTTTGTACTTTCAGGGAGTGTTACATTTGGTCTTGGACTCACTCATACTTTTGGGCAGGGCTCGATCTTCGGGGCTACTTTGCATGGAAGCCCGGTGAAATGCAAGGCTAAACTAATAATGTCACATTGGATCCAGATCAGGTCATGATGTGGCTACTTGGTTCTTCTCTACTAATTTCACTGCATGACATGAAAGCTCATTGTTGGTTGTTGCAAAAAAACCCAAAACAAAACATTTTTTAAGCATGAACTGGCAACACATTCCTTTGTCTAGTATGTCAGTAGTACATTTGAAAATTTCTTCTGGATCATCAAAATGGAAACAATCTCATCAGATTCACGACCTGTAGCTAAAAGTCTGCCTTTGCGATGATAATAAGGTGAACAAAATATTCGAAATGCCCCTCTGGATGCAAACCGCACTTGCAAAAATGAACCTAATTGTCAAACTATTGCCTCTCTCACAGCGTCAATCAGCGCTGGACATTATCTTTCGAAAGGCAGATTTTTGTCGATACAGGTCTGCACTGGAGCTCATTAGCTTGTTTAGGTGTTCCGAATATGGTAGCCAGTGGTGTTATATGAAAAATGATCCCTATTTTAGCACCTTTTTCACCCATAAGAGCCCTCCACTGTGTGAATCTCCCTTTTGAGCTCCCAGTAGTGTAATCCCTCCCTTGTTTGTCCTTCGTCCCAATGCCTCGTAGACAAGCGCTCCACATCCAGCATCAACCTCAAACAGCCATCAGAAGCTAACATCAACAAACGCCTGTCCTCGTCCTCTGCTACCCTTGTCAAATCTCCCGACAAAAGTAAGTCTCCTCTTATGACCCCTTTCTCCTCTCTCCCTCTCCCCTCCTCTGCCCCCCCCACCCTAGTATCTAACCTCCTCTCCTCCCAGCAGTACTTTCATGCTGTCTTATGTTTTACAGTGGTGTCAAACTCGAGGCCGACGGGCCAAATTTGGCCATCCACGTCATTTGATGTGGCTGGCAAAGGCTTGCCACAAATTTTCTTTTTGACTGTGCATGACGGACTTTACAAAAATGATTATAATCAAATGAATAGGCGATTGTTTAACATGCTGGGGTGATGATTAGAGTTCCTCACCAGAACATATTAGGAATGGGACATGCAGTCTAACTGCCATCTATCTAGTCTGTAAACAAACACAATGCTGCTCATCTTCTGGCAAGTAGATGTCATGACTAGTCATATGATTAACGTTTTCTGCAGTAGCTACACATTTGTTATTAGGATTTTCGTGGCATAGTAATTCAGCTTTCAGTTATTGTTGTACTTGTCTGCAGTGTTCATTTTCCTCAAAAAGTAGATAAACTATTCATTTTTGCACGTTCCTAAAATGAAAAACTGTTGTTGCATTTTAAATATCATTCAAGACCCTGTAAAGTGAAGTAGAGGGCCTCATTGTCTGCTGCAAGGGTGCACGTCTCTGAGGAAAAAAATGGAACAAATAAAAAGTCTGATGTGACAGCCATGGGCTTTGCTCTGGCGTGGCCACTTTAGAGCGCCTCATTGCCGCAACATGGAAAAGCGCAATGGGTTGTATCCCAGCCACTGGAAACTTTAAGCAAATATATTTTTGCAAGTCAAACATAGTTATGTCGGCATAAGAAAGATGCTACATGAAGTAGCCTTTTTTGATCACGTCCTGAAATCCGATTGGTGATTTGAAACCATGACCAACCCATCGGCCTAGCAGCCTCGCATGACCTCTGACCCCACGTGTTGTGCCTTATCCTAGCATTTGCACGCGACCTTACTTAGGCCGACTGTAGAGCTTCTTGACAACGAGATAATTGTTTAACTTGATGACTTGACTTTTCCTTGATGTCCAAACACGTGATTGGACTCGAGTACCATTCATTCGGTAACGTGGTGTTAAATTCCCCAATGAGTGTTGTCGTCATTGTCCCTTAGGTTTTAAATCCAGGAGTGCGTCTTGTAACCGTTTGCCTCGTAAAGACGGTGCTGCAAATGAGGAAGGCAAAAAGCTGCAGGCGGGGCCGACAGGTGCATAGACGCCGTGCCGTGCAACACTACATTTCTCGACTTATCACTGTTCCATGCAAGTTCCCTTGTCACTGGGATTTGATCAATTTCAGACGAATTAAATCCATTGGATTTTTTTTCCCTCAAGCAGGACATAAACCCCCCCATTTTTTTCTGACAAGCGTTAAGTCATGTAACATAAAAAAAAATGGATTTGCAAAATTATGGTAATTACAGAAGAGTAATTTTTTTTTCAGTTCAGCTTTGAAAGGCTAAGAAACACTCCCCAGTGTCTAAGGTCCAAGAGGCGCTTACAATGGCGCCTATGTGTGCCTCCGCTCACGTCTCATTTTTGATGATCACCAGTTCGACATCAGCTGCCATGATGCTTGCTGACTCATACGCAGTCCAAAACTGCACATGACCCGTTGGAAACACTCTTTGCGGGGCTGTTCTTTTTGACTCTCTCCCTGTGTCTCGTTGGCCGTGACCCTGCTCTCATGGCCGTAGGTGCTTCCATGAAGAAGAGGAGCTCGTCCCTCACACGAGTAAGTGTGGGCAGAGCACAGACCCCTGCCAAGGCTGCTAAGGGGACAGCAGAAAATCAAGGTGGCTAGCATGGAGCAATCAGTCGATCACTTTTTTCATGCTTCCATCTGGCTATTTTCATTTATTTATTTATTTTTTATAAATTCCAGGCATGATGCTCTGATGTTAACAGCTTGCTGTTTCTGAATCTAAAAGAGATTTTGTGGGGATATCTCTTCATTTATCTCAGTTAAGGAAAAGTAAATTATCTGGTGGTTTAAACGGGCTTACATTATATTTGGCTTGATGGAATCTCATTCCCCTCCCCCAAAACTCACACACAATGCTGGATAACATTTTTTGGCCAACTGCTCATGTTTTCGACACGCTCCTGTCTGATTTGCATTTAACATGACATGCTTGCACTTTTAACCAGATCCTTTTCTGCTGCACACACTGGCAACTAACTGTCACGTCTCCTCGTCGTTTTTACAATCGTCGACTCCAGCAATGGTCTTGTTGTATGTTCTCACTAACACCATGTATTGTTTTTGTTTGGTCACAAAGTGTAGATTGTGTTCTTCCCCCCTACAGATGACGTCTTCCTAGCTGGAATTAAGATGCTTTGCTTGTACATCAGTGCCATCCCATCGTAGCACCCACAAACGCACCCAAATCCCTTGAAGAGTGCCAGTGTGCAGTCTGTGTATTAATCAGCAAAGCTTTTCTTTGTCCTTCCATCTCTGCAGCTCCCATTGAGGGGTCCCGTTGTGCTCTCCATGATAAATCTCTCTCCATCTATTTATTTCTTGGCAGGATTGTTCAATATATGATTTGGATTAGGGAATGGGCTTTATATCAATAACTAGGTGGATGGTGTTGGGCATGTGTAATTGTGTACGTTAATCCAGGTACACACAGGATGTACAATTTGGTGCTTGATCTAAAATAGCATTGCTCGACCTTGGCGCTGATCTGTGCTCTAATGAGTGCTACTCCAGTCCCCGTCACTGTTCTTTTAGCCTCTTAACACCTTGATGCGTAGTAGCAACTTGCTAGCACTTAAAATGTAAATTGCATCTGACAGTAGCAGATGTCAGTTTAGTAAGAAATTTCACCGAGCAGGGGCGGGGCGGCCATCGGGAATTTCGGGAAAATAAACATTTTCCCGAATGTCCGGTATGTTTCTGGGCTGGTCCTGGGCATCGCGGCCACACCTCCCAACCGCCCCCCCATGTCGACAATTATTGGTGACAGATACTAATTGACATGAAAAGTCGAGACACACCGCCAATCTTTATTTTTACTCGAGAGCGGTGCTGACTTCAAATCCGAAGCGATAGAACACTACAATTTACAGGGATCTAATAGTGATTGTGACAAATTTAAATTACACAGGCTGGCCAGGGGAGACCTTCTTGCACGCCTACCTGTTGAAAAACGTGCTCAACGAATAAATACGTCACTGGCAGCAACAAATGGATTCAATTGATCAAATTTCAATGTCTACCGCAGTTAATTAGTTAACTTGATGGGCACCCTACAACCGTTTTCACAGTAGCCTGCAGTGTGATACACTCCCCGTCTTTCTTGCCCGAATAATATTTGTTTGCAGGTGACTAATGATCCACTGTTTTTCTCTTCCCCATCAGCACACACCCCACTGCCTTAAGGAACCATTGATTTGACCACATTGTCGACTGATCCAACTTAGATAATCAATGGTCGGTCTCAGTACTCTTACATGGCATCACTGCCTTGTTATTCTCATGAAATGATTTCATTGACGACCAGAAGTGAAACACCCTGTGAGACTATTGAGACAACCTTTTGCTGCATGTTGTTGATTCTCTCCTGATGGTTAAATCACATGGTGACTTATCTAACTGACACTTCCCCACCCCCACTTTACCCTTTCTTTTTTGTCATTCTCTGCTGCTCTTCTTGAACCCCCACCCCCTTCCTGTCCTTTTTTTTGTTCTCTTCTTTTTTTTGGCGGGGGTTTCATTGTTTTTGGTGGGCTCGCCACGTAGCCCGCAAGCAACCAACTTGCACTGTGGACGGCGGGGTCATTAGTCGCCTGCTCACTCCCACCCAGGCCTCACTTGCTCGGAGCAAGAGTGCTGCCGCCCTTTCCCCTGAAGGAACAGAGGCTCCAGGTAACCCCCCTCTTTTCACATAGCCGAGCTAAAAGAGGAAGGTTTCTTGCCCCTCTCCCTCGTGCCCCCCTTCCACGGTTCGGTACAATGCCTATGGCGACCCTGACTTTCCAAGGGCCTTCAGGAGCACCCAAAGTTTGTACACCCGTCGTAACGCAATGTATTCAATCTTAAGCCCCTGCTAACTCATTTGGAAGTTCATAATTACAGCAACATTTATATGAAAAACATGTCTAGTATTTATATAAAATATTACATGGAAAAAAAAGGTAAGTACGGTTGTGAAAAAGCGCACCTTGTGCTTCTTGTACCACGTAACTTTGTAAGTGCTGTAAATAGTAAACCAACGACCCTCTGGCCTTGGCCCAACATGGCCCTGCTTGTGATTGATGCGTTTCCACTGGCAAAATCAGGTACTATGAGCTATAGTTTTTAGTAAAAGGGGGATCTAAATGTGCCAAGTCAATACAGAGTAGGGCTTGAACCAGGCCTGGCAGCTTACGAGCCAGTCCATTTGTCGGTGTCACCTGTGTTATAAAATCAAAGGCCACGACTGCATAGCTTGAAATAGTTGTCCCATCTTGCTGTGCCATAGCCTGAGTGTTTACTCCATGGTCTATATTTTGCTGTCCTGCTTTTGGGTGGAAACATTGTATGTCCAAATATGGTCAATACCCCCCCCCCCCCGCCCCTTTTTTTATTTTTTTATTTTTATACAACTCAATATCAATTGTCTCCATGTGTTCTGTTAATTTTAAGCGCCTAACTGATTTAATGTGTTGACAATAGCTTAAGAACGAAACTGTTAACTCTTGAATGCGCAATTGAGAGGCTTTGCGAAACTTGCCTCACTCTGCGGGAGCTGTGCGGCATTATGTTGCCACAACATTGAAAATCAGAAATTTTGAAAATCTGGATGTTTTTTTTTTTTTTTCAGCCTTTCAGAGACAGCGGTTACTACAGTGGACATCTTATCATATTATCAGCTTACAGGATTTATATATGGAGCCACATTGCAATAAGACCCATTTTGATGCCGCGACAGTCAAGTTTTCACGTACAGTATTTGCCTAAATAAAGTCACCGCTCAGCTGAGCCATATATATTGGCAGCAAAGCGGACTCATGTGATAGAACATAGCTCCATGTAAATATGGACCATCACGCGTCCAGCTCACATGCGCTGCCGAAGTGATACAATCGGCCACAGTTGCAGTGTGCCTTGGCTTGAGCCGATCAGGCCTCACTCGACCAGTCGCATTTCTCGGCATCTGAGGAGCTTCTGGGTCCATGCTGGGAGATTTTCTTTTAAGCCGCTTACTTGTTCTCGTTGTGTCAGAATGAAACCGTTGTGCTGCTGCTAGTGTTCTGGCACCAAGATCAGAGACCTGCCGGCGCCAGGTGCCGTTTTGACTGTTGTAGTAAATGGTACTCACGCCATTCAAATCGCAAGATATACGCTTCTCTGTGGTCATGTAAATACAGCTTGTCACGTCATTAATACCGGAAAGTAATTCACTCTTTGTGTATAATGCACAGGTAGATGTGCATCATAATAGTGGTTTGTTCTGGAAAGCTACTGGAATCTCTGCAACAAATTCAAGCTGTGTCGGTTTTGGGTGTGGCGTTTATTGACCAGCCATTAGACACCCATTAGCGGTTATGGATCGTGTGCTAAGTATGGCTCCAGTGAAAACATGACCCATCTGCAGCAGCAGCACAGTGCACATGCATTGCATGCTCATCATACTTTGTAGATGCAGAATCACAGAAGACACTTGCGACTGATCTTTTGCAACGAGAGCCCTCAAGGTCGCCGGATTATCATGACTAATCCCTGACACAGCAAGTCGATAGCTGACAACAAGATGTCCCCTTTTGCGGAAACGAACACTTTTCAAGTCGGATTGTTGTCCTGCGCAGCATCGACATCAAAGATTAATAGAGCTTGCTCTTTCTCGCCCTTTCTTGTGAGGTATTTGAAGTACGGTGCTGTGTCGTTTCGACTTGGTCAAATGGTCACCAGTGGGACTAACGCAGGTGTTAGCAATGACATTAGTCTTGTTTCCTTCCACTTAGGTTTAATAGAAGCAGATTAGTGCTATAGCAGTGCGAGACGTCACACTAAGTACTCTGTCTAATTAAATATTCATTGTGATTCTCACAATAGCTCTCCTAAAACAATAGATATAATGGTGGTCTTCAAATTTTTAAATGTAGCAAATACAGCGGTGCCTCAAAATATGGGTGACCCCATTTGAGTTTTTAAAGCCATTGTGGCTGTTTTCGTTTTGACCTGCAAGCAAGAATTTGAGATAAATGTGTTTAGTGGCAGTGAGCTCAACTAACCCTCAAAAACGTAATATGCATTGTTTATTTAAAACGACCATATAACTTTGCCTGATACAAAAAAAAACCCACTCTTAATGCCAAGAAATACTGCTAACAAATAATATTGGTGTCTTTGTTATAACCTTTTTTTAAGCATTGGCCATTCAAACACAAACAGTGCATCAAAACATGCTGCAAGACAGCGTAATTTGGCATTTATTGATGACATTTTCCAAAATGTGACTTATTTCAGCTTACTAAGTCACTTCCAGTATTTGTAAAGGTCTTCTCTGTCCCTCCGACTGAATTGTACAACCCACAGTGACCAAGTTGCACACACCAGAAGCAACGACAATGAATTATTCATAATCCACAAATTGTTTTTCTCGACATTCTGTTTCATGATATCAGAGTTTTGTGTTTTGAGTTACGCACAGTCATTGAATGAATGTACCGTACGTAACCTTTTTCCTGAAGGTACCACTATCACAGTACAGGACATGTTGTAGTTTAACACATATTAACTGTTTGCGACCCTCACAAACTGCTTTCTTGTTTATTTATTACACGCCAATATACTAATATTAGAAATGTGATGTGTTGGTTAGGGTGGTCCATTTTGGAAAAGTTTGTCGGATTCGTCGGGCCGGGTCGGAAATCTTGTCGATACTATGACACAAGGATGTGTGCAAAATTTTATTCCGATCGGATAATTTTATCCCGTCCCGCAGAGCGACCAAAGTTTCCCCTATGGAAAGAATGTTACGGGGCTGAATGGTAGTACGGTTTCTCCCGTACAGTAAGGATTTTGTTTTGCTCAGTTCGCACTTGCAATAATTCAAAGACGGAAGACAGGAACGCATGTATTGCAAAAAAGGCAACCGTGGTTATCCTTCAACACTGGTGAGATTGTTGGTCCATGTTAACTGGTCCATCTGTCTATCTGTCCATCTGTCTATAATGTCCATCAACACTAGTGACACTGTTAGACCGCAAAAAAAACGAAATCCGCCGTGCGTGCCATCCCATGCCTACTTCGCGCACGGGTGCAACGCCCGGTGTCGCTCCACGACCTGCAGAAGGTGCTGTCGCTGTTCATCGTCGCGCGTAATGGCGCCGTAGAACGCGCTGATGAGGGCGACGCCCCTCTCCGCAAAGTCGTTCACCACCCGTAGGTGACGAGCGCGCCGACGAGCCGTGGTGATGTTCGATGTCGAAAAGCGTCCTCAGCTCAGCGTCCAGTAAGAATTCCGGCGATTCTCGACTTCAATTGAAAGATATTAGCTCGCCAGTAGGTGACCGTTGTGTGTTAGGCGTGCGTTTGAGTTTGTCTCCGGCTGCTGAGAGCAGCGATGGAAGGTTTAGTTAGTCAGGAGGTGATCGTTCGGGCAACATTCAGCCCAGCCAGTGTCACGCATGGCAAAATACACATGTTCACCCTATTGAGACCAGTTGTTATGGTGGAAACTTTGGCCGCTTTGCGGGACGGGAAAATATCATCAGATCGGAATGAAATTTTGCACAGAACCTTGTACCATAGTATCGACAAGAATTCCGACCCGGCCCGACGAATCCGACAAACTTTTTTTTTTGCCATGAAAATGTGGACCACCCTAGTGTTGGTGTTTGTTTTCTGTTCTAGTTGTTATTCTTGAACTCACACCTAGATTTTGAGTTTGCTTGGTTTTTGAGGTCCTCGTGACCACAGATCGAAACTGTTGCCTGCTTCAGTGCCACGCCTAACAAACTCGATTTATTTTCACCCCCTTAAAAAATAATTTTCCTGCGTTTCAATCACCTGTCACCCTTTCCTCCTTGTCACTTATTACTCCTTGTATCTAATTTATCTTGTACCCCTTTTTTTCCCCCCCTTTTACACTTTTTGGTACTTTGCTGCTTCGCTGCCCAACCCGGCCTGCTTGTCACCCCTCCCCGCTGCCGATGACTGTGTCCTTTACCAGAGTGTCACCTGTGTCCTCGCTCAGCCTCCGCCACCCCGCTCCACCCGCCTCGCGGGCCGTTGCGCAGTCGCAGCATCGACCGGCAGAAGAACGGCATGACCACCTCCGTGTCGGCAGACGGAGCCCTCGACCCCTCGCTGGTGAGAGTCTCTCTTTTTTTAAAAGCCAAACAAAAGCTCATTCACTTGACAATCAATAATTGGTTAATTGTATCCAAAAGGATGTAGGTATAACGTTTGCCAGTCAAAGTCATTCAGCTGGATGCAAATGACAAGGAAGTTGAATTTCCACCAGTGCCCTCCTCGGCACAAAGTTATCTATTGCGACGCCTGTCATTGTTGTCACTCGCTGTTGCTCGCTCTCCGACACAGCCTTTCAGTCGACACTCTGTTCGGCTGTGAAAGGATTCGTTGACATGGCATGAGACAAACTTGTGGCCTGATTATGGACAGATCGGGTCATGCAAAGCAGGCAGCGCCCTGAGCCTGGGGCCGCTGGACTTTCCATCTCTTTGTGTCTGTGCTTCCCTGCACTGATTGGTAACCTTGTGGTTAGCACTGTGCAAAGCTCCTTGAATGATACCTTTGTGTATTATTTTCAAGCTTCTTTGTGTCAGCCTATGTCGTAAGGGAAGGTTTTTACAAGGTTTGCAGGTCGTCATTGTGTTTTGAGTGGCTTCTTTTTACACTCAGAAACTAATACTTGTCCCTGTTTTCAACCTATCCAAAGCTTGTAAACTTGTTTTATGATGAGAACAGTCTAGTCATCAACCCCTATTGTGACAAATGTAATTCACCTTTCTGAATGGCATCAAATGACACCATTCTTGAGTTAGAGTATGTATGTGGCTATGTGGAAAATGTGAGCTGATGTAATTCTGGTTGCCATGAATTAATTTTCCATTTCTGGGCTGTTGGGGGGAAACAAAACAGAACAAGCAGGAAAAAACGTTGACCTTGTCTGGGCGGCAACGTCCGCCTTCTCCATCCATCCCCATGGTACGCAACCGTTCGCCATCCCCCGCCCCAAAACCATCTCCAAAGAGGACTCCATCCCCAGCAGCGTCAAAGTAAGAAGTCAAGCAAATGTTGTGTTTCACCTCACCTTATCAGAGAAAGTAAACGCAGCTTTTTATTATTAAAGACCCTGGGACATTAAATATTTCTATCCGAATACATTCACCATGAATGGGAAGTATAACTGGTCAAAATATGCAAAACTGAGAATGATGTTGTACTTAATTGTGTAGAACAACTTGTTTTTTTCACCATTTCAGTTTTCCTGACATGGTGTCTGAAAAGACCCTTGTTAGACAAGAGTACATAGGCGTGAACATCACGCAGACAAGCAAGGATAGCGATGGGGGAGTCTGACTTGACAGCCATAGTGTGAACCTCCTCACAGGGTCTTTTTAGAGTGCCTCGTTGTTGACCTTGAGTGTGTGGTAAGAAGGCAAAAAAGCGACAGGGCAAAAAAAAAAAAAAATCTGACATACAGTCAGTTTGACAGTCAGTTTGTGGTAGGGATTTTGCACTGGTGTGGCTGGTTTATTAGAGTGCCTCATTGTTGCAGTGTGGAAAAGCCCCACGACGACTCAGTGGGATGTCATCGAGCCATTAGAGGTGTTAAGTGTTTATATATTATTAAGGCTCAAACATATAGTTATGCGTAGGCCTAAGAAAGATGCTTAGACAAAGAAGCTTTCAACTTTCAGGTCACAGGATTCGATTGACAGTTGAGCGTGTTATGGCTTCAGTGTTCAGGGAACACCCCACAGCATTTGAGAGTGGAAAGAAGAACTTCACTGTTGATGCATTTGAAGCCTCGTTTTGTGTACTTGGCAATTGCTTTTTTTTTTTTTTTAATCATTTCAATTTTGGCAGTGTTCTTAAAAATTTAATACATTTCTCTTCACCTAACATGGAGTTTAATGAACATGTTTTGTTCTGACAGGCAAAATTCAAAGGGACGCCCACCCTCACCTGCAATGAAACATCCCCCATCGCCTCAGCCGACGTCAGCCAAACCCCCTCCGATCCAAAAACCGGCTCTCACCCCGCCAGGTCCCCCTACCCTGCGCAAGAGGGACTCCCGCTCCAAGGACATGCTGTTACCCATGCAGGCTGGCTTGCCACACTCGTCCGACTCTAGCAAATCCAAAGAGAAAGACGGTGAGCATCTCGGCGTGGCGCTCACAGTTAATGCCATTACGTGTGGTTTTATTTCAGTTGACTCAACAATGTTTTATAATTCTGGACTGGATAGGTAGAAGCTTCTTTCAAAGACTTCTTAAATTGTGATGCCACACAAACAGAAACATCAAACCATGTCAGCATTTTTCTTTGTATTCAACACACCACTAGCTTTGTCGCTGATTGCTGGCCTGAGATATACACAGTATATATATTTCTCCCCCTCTCCTTGGCCTGTTTTCCCTCTGGTTTATACTTTTGTTTGTGTCTGGTGTACAGTGATGTGGCAGTAAATCTCAATGGAGCAGCTCTTGCAAATCCCAACTGTTGTCACTTCCTGAGCTTCATTCGAGTTGTTGATGCTCCCATCTACTGGACAGAGTTGTGCTCTACAATATACACGGTCACCATATGTAATATCTCGATATCTAAGTCCCTACATGTTCTTGACTAACTCAATTAAATTGGCCACATGCCGAAAAATGAGAGCTTTATTTCTCAAAATTTGCTCGCTCATTTGATAGGTTTCATGAAGCTTCACATGCTCAATATTCGCATCGGCTGTGACTCAACACATTTTCCTTTTTTCCTTCCTCTTTCAAATTTTATGCCCTGTCCAAATCTGTTTTCCAGTTAGAATGTTATGGAATTAGTCACGTCCAATTTATTTATGCAGCCCTTAATCACAACACAATCTCAAAGGGTTTCCCAAGACCACATCTGACAAATATTAATGACATCCTCTGATCTTAACCCCATGAGCATGTGGAGGGAGAAAAAATCATCTGAGGAGTAACAAGAAAGCTTGAATTATCTCGAGTATGCACATAGTACATGCTTGTCTGTGTTCAAGCATATTTTATAACACATAATGCCTTTTTTATCGCAAAGTAAAAAGTTGAAATGTTAAAGTAACTGAAAATGTATCATTTAACATGATTAGTTTTTATAAGTCTTGTTAAAATTTGAGATAATTTGTGCGAGCACTTGTTTTCAACCATTTTTAAACATTCCAGCGGACAACTTGTTGCTCATTGTCTGATGCTGCAAACCTGAGCCAATTTTAAATGACTGACAAAACAGTGCACGTTATCAGTGCCAACAATGGGTGTTCGAAGACTACGGAAGCCACTAATCGAGCAAAAAAAGAGATTTATTGACTAAATCGATACATCATCCAGCCCTAGTATTCATGAGCAACCATCTTGTGTGCGTTGTGAAATAATCCAATTTCACTTCATTGTTCCAACAATTATTTACTACAAATAATCTATCTTTGCTCATTTTCGTATGCCAGTGGGGAATAGTGACAGGCAGAACAATTAAACCCTCTTACACGAGATGGAGTTAACCAGAGTATCCACTTGTTGTGAAATTTGGGCAACACTGTACTATAACCATCACGTTAACGCAGCAATCATATAACTTGTATTTGTCTTTCCTTCCTGTCAGATGCTAAGACGGGAACCAATTCTGCTGCTGAGGCAGCCAAGCTCTTGGCAGAGCACCGCAGACAGATGCGTGAGCAGAAGGAGAAAGATGAGCAACTCAGGATACAGCGTGAGGAAGAGGAGAAGTGAGCATCTTTAATTTTCTCTCACGAGGGGCATCATCAACGAAGATGTTGTCTTCCTCCATCTCAAGTACGACGATGAGAGTGAAGGTTAAAGCCCTTTCGTTTGGTCTTTCAGGGTCAGGAAAGAGGAGGAGCAGCGTCTGGCGCAGGAGGCTCTGCTGAAGCGCCAAGAGGAGGAAAAGAAGCTGGCAGAGGAGAGAAAAGTGAAGGAAGCGGAGGAGGCCCAAAGAGCGGAGGAAGAGCGGGAGAGACTGGAGGCTGAGGAGGCTCTCAAGCAGGCGGAGCTGCAGAAGGAGCGGGAGGAGGCCGAGGCCAAGGCCCTGGAGGAGGCCGAGAGGGTCCGCCAGGAGCGCGACCGCATCATGCAGCAGAACCAACAAGAGCGTATGGAAAGGAAGAAGGTAATTATTGCACACTATCAACAGTATGGCAGGAAATCAAAGATATACGAAAAACTATCTGTGGTTTCAGAGAATTGAAGAAATAATGAAGAGAACTAGGAAAGGAGATGGAAATGACTTTAAGGTGAGAAATTGATATTTCTATCAGCGATGTTCACAAAATAGTGTGATTTACAAGTGTTGCCACTCCTATGCAGAGAGATGAAGACAAGGACCAGGAAGACAATGAAGATGGAATGGACACGTTGAGCTTTGATGCAAGGAGTATGTTCTCGTTACTACCACTTATCAGACAGGGCTACTATTTCAAGGCCTAAAACAACAAGCTGATGCACATCAATTCACTTGGCAGGCAGACGCTCTGAAGCTCTTTTGTGAAATGTGTCCAGGCCCAGAATTAGTAAAGCACTCCAAACTATGATGCCCCTCCACCATTGATTAATTTGTTGGGATGATGTTTTGATGGTGGTGTTGTTGTGTGTTCAACATAACAGACAACAATCAAAAATCTGTGTCAGGAAAGGGAAATATTTTTTGTACCGGATGTTCAATATAAATGTTCAATCAATTAAATAAAATGGGTCAACATCTGTTTTGACTATATAACTGATCTCCTTCAAAGATGAAAGTCAGATGGGGGATGTTGCCATGGAGATGCACAACTGTGGCGATGGAGTCCCACAAAGAGAAGAACCCCTGGGCTGCCTGAATAGGAGAGAGGAAACGGACGACAAGGAGAACAACAACGCCCCGGACGAGACTCAAGCACTCAGGTAAAGACGGCCTCGAAACATTCACCCATACACGCTTCATTTGAACAGAAAAGAAAAGTATTTATGACGTTTGCTGTCGACTGAATCACATTAGTGTTGATATTTGACACATCCCATCGTGGCCAGAACTAGCAGTTAGATTCGTTCTATTTCCCTACAAAGCCTTTTTAAGTCTCTTAACTATTAAATATACGATGATTAGAGTATTCGTGTTCACATAAGCTATACAGCAGGGGTCCCCAACCTTTTTTGCACCACGGACCGGTTTATGTCAGACAATATTTTCAGGGACCGGCATTTAAGGTGTGGCGGAAATAATACAACAAAATTATATGGTATGAGCTGCATGAAAACTGTGGTGTTTTCGAAATATAATAATAAACACAAGGAGCGTCTAATCTGGCCGCAACACTCTGATCGCTATGGTAATGTTTAATGCCTTCAAAATACGATACAATGCAAATTCAAAGTGCATGAAAATGACCACTCACCACAGCCCCGAGCTTGATTTTCTGCAACCAGACGGTCCCATCTCGGGGTAATAGGAGACAATGACACCTCAAGTGTGTGTTTTGCGTCAAGTCTACTTCGTAATTTTGTTTTAGTCGCCGTTGCTGCAGAAAAGCCCCGCCTCACACAGGTAGCATGTCGGAAATAGCAACAGTGCTACTGTGGCGATCTCAGAATATTCAGCCATAACTTTAATCCATTTGTATCGAACGTACTTTGAAGGCCGCTGTCATTTGATCTCCAGCAGTTTTTTACTCATTTTGCGAGCTCTGGTGTGTTTGTTTTTAAGCGGAAATCGGTCACGTGACGGGGGAAAGCGTGGCTTGACGTGTGTCAAGCGTGACACAGACGGATGTAACGGAGAATCCGGTAATTTTTCAAAATAAAACTTCTTTCGTATTCCGAAATAAAACGGAATTAAGGCAAGTTCTTTCTGTGCGGCCCGGTACCAAATGCCCTGCGGACCGGTACCGGTCCGCGGACCGGCGGTTGGGGACCCCTGCTATACAGGCAGTGGATTTATCTAATGGAATAAAAGTACCCTTTATGAGCTCCCGTAACCCATGATTATCTCACATAAGATGACATTGTTAGTTGTCTATGTGCTGGATTTGTCTAGCTATTTTTTTAATCAATTTAAACCACGAGCGCAGCATCAGAAAGCCTTGATCAATTTACTCACAACCTACTCAGTGTGAAATATGGTTGGGAGTCACTTATTGGCAGATAATCAAACTGGCCTTCCTCTCTCCAGTCCAGTTCAAAAGAGCCGTCTGGTGGAGGGCTCGGAGTTCCTGAATGAGCAGGACCCGGCCAAGGTGGAGCTGGTGTCGAGCCTGGGCAACAAGTCCAACCAGTGGAGCTTCGAGGAGCTCATGGACCGCAATGTCCACTCCAAGACTCACGGCCTCATCGAGGCCGAGGACTGTAACCCGGTGCTGATTAACTGCGACGGGCCGGATGGCACCAAAGGAAGCCCAGTCAACTCCCTGCATTCCTCCAGTCAAGCCATCGAGACCCTTTCGGGTGAGTAGAGTATTCCTGTTGAGGTTTAAAGTGCCTTACTCAGATGAGTAACGCATTTTCCAATTCAGCATCTAAAGAGCACAACGTGTCAGTAATCTGAGCAAGCAGAAAATTCAGGATGAAGCCATCATAGTTTTCTTTGACCTTTCTTCGCCAAACAGATACTGAAGTCAAACATCAGTCAGCAAAAGAACCACTCAGTGTGAGGCTAGGCTCATTTTCACATGATACTTGTTTTTTTTTTAAGCTAAATTAACTAGGTGAAGGTATTTCACTGACGGTGGAACCTCGTTTTTTTTTGTATGCTAAAGTTCTAAGTCGATTTTTGAGCAGCTAAAAATGGCTCATACCGAAACCAGCGGTCTGCCCGTGTGACTCCACCACTCTAGAATCGAGGGCCCACACAAAGCAGCCTAAGTGCATTTTCAACATATTTTGTTCTTGTCGTACCTGGGAACGTGTTGTCATGTGTTGCATCATGGTGGTATCAGACATTTTTTATGCTTCTGATCTTTTGTTTACTATTCGGACATGCTCTCTCTTTTTTGATTTTTTTTTTCCCCCCCAAGTCCGTATTTTGTCTGCTGAATTTAAGCTTTGTGAAATGTTGCTGTGGGGTATGGCTCCTCCACACGCACGAGTCGGCGCCACACTGTGCATTTCTCAGAAAGCGTTAAAAAAAAAAATCATACTTATACTATGTAATGAGTGTGACTGTTCAAAAGCGAACAAAGGGTCAAAAAACAGGTCCAAGTGCTTTTCATAAAGAAGACGAGAAACAACATGGAATTCAAGAAAGAACTTGTAGCTTAGCATAAAAATGGCGGGTTTTCCCTCCAAGTAATAACCTCTCCCCGCTTTCTCCATCTTCAATAAAGGTAAAAGTGATGTTTCATCTTCATTTAGGTCTTTTCATCAGTCACTTTTTCTGCGTGTAAGTGTAGTCATTCTATTTTTGGGGGCGTTTGGAAACTGAATTGAATTAACATCATGTTCTGTGGGAAACGTGTTAGTCTTAATACTTTTTTATTTTAGGGTTAGGGTTAGACTTTTTGGAATAGGTTCTACTATATTTCTATTTCCTGAATTGGTTAGGCAATCCCTCAATGTGTGAATTTCCACCACATCTACTCTATTTTTCACTCCATTTAACTTTTGCAATATAAATTAGGGTCGCGAGTGGGTCTCCCTTCCAAACTGTGTAGAAGGCAAAAGTCATCGTTCGGTCTCTTTTCTCAATTTCTCCGCCTTGGTCAAATGACACCTAAGGGATTTGTTTATGAGTTTTGTCATTGGGCATCTTTTCGGCTGCGGAACTTGACGTGACGTGATGATGAATTGTCCACTCAACAAGCTTTTCAACAGTCTTCTCGTCTATTTGCAGAGATATGATGTTGCACACACCCAGCCGGCACCGGAAAGCCTCTCCACTGTTGCACTCCTCAACCTCCTGAGCTCAGTTGAAAAGTTTCCAAACCGCTTCTTCCCATTAATTCCAGAGGGAAGAGGCCAAGGTGAAATGTAAAGACCTCGCCCCAAGTGCTTATGTGTCTCATCTACAAGATGAATGAAAGCTTCAGGGAAATTTCACGTTCCTTCTTCTCGCGTCAGGTCTTCTTCCTTTTGTTTTATATGTTGTGTCTCAGATGTTTTTAAAGTGTTTTTTTTTTTTTTTTGTCTTTGCTAGAGGTCCACTATTGTAATTTATTCATTCATTTTGGCTTATTTGTCATTGGTTGTTTCGATGTATTCCTCTTGTATGAGAGCGTTTTCGTTGTGCACCAACGTTAAAGGCGTGCTTGTTTTCGTATCTCTCTGGGAAGTTGGCAGGTGGCTCTTCTAAATTTACTTGACTGACTGTCATTTTGGCAGCATCTGACAATTATGGCCTTACCCATTTTTTTCCCCCCTCCCCAAAAAAAACTAGTTTGGGTGTGGGGGTGAGGGGATGACATCGCCATGTGTGAAGCATGGAAAGCGGTTTGCCATTTATTCAATCCCCTTATTATCCAACTGAAGGTTCATTTGCCCTAGTAGCCTCTTTATCAAATATGTTAAGATTTATGTACTAGTATGTACATTGTCCTGAATACTAAAGACAATTCAACGTACTAGTAGAAAGAGTAGTGCTCGCTCGTCCGCATTATCTGATAGCCTTGATATCTGTACTGGTAGTGTGTTCTTTGTCCTCACTTGTAGGACAACTTTGGCATACTATTGGGACAACTTTGTTACTAGTGAAGCCATACTGAACTTTGTAACACTTGCACGCTATTGGCACATGTATTTGATTTCCTTGGTAAGACAGCGACTAGCATGAGATATATGCCTACCAGTTGGCTGTGGCAAAGTCATTTACGAGTAAATTTTAATTGCAAAGTAGCAGGCAAGAAGTGTCAGGGGTAGTGGGGGGGAAAAAAAAAACGTTACTAGTCAGACAGTCATTTTTACTAGTGTGCTGATTGTCTCACTAGTGAGGACAAACAATGTACTCGTACATGATTCTTAAGATGACTGTCAAGAATATAAAATAATGCTCAAACGGCTTTCGACATGTTATGTTGTCGTGGCTTGAGACACCCTGCGTTGCAGTCTGTTTTTGGCCACCAGACGGCATAGAAAGAATGTGTACATTTCTATCACAACTTAGAACTGTTTATTGCTATTCAGGGCTCAGTTGGCTTTGTTGAATTTTTGTACATTTGTATATGGAGCTTCTGTTTACTAACAAGATGGTTTTAGTTTACGGAAGTCTGTTCCCTTTAGGAAAAAAAATTAAAATATGCAGGAGAATCCCTATATTTTAATTAAGTCACATCACCAACCCGTTCCATCGTCTTGTACTCTGCACATGCTAGCTGCTACATTTGTAAGTTGGAAAAAAAAAGCATTTCAGCTGTTTCTTTTATTTAATGTGACGTGTGGCTGTTTATATATGAAAATACAGTTCAGCATATATTTATGTGTTTGTATATGAAATCAGTGTTAGGCCAATGAAGCCCTGGTGAGGCCCGAGTAACGACTCTGAAAGTGGATGACAATTTTGAGCCTTTGGCCGTCGTTTTGTTTCCGCAGTTAAAATCGTAAATTTGTCGAATGCGGAGGGCGGGGGGGCCTCCATTTTATGCCTTGTCTGTCGGCGCTCACACCCTCTCGCTAAACCAACGTAAGGACCTGAGACTGCTTTAAGAAGAGCCTTTGTACATCGCAGCGTTCTCCACCCGTTCTGCAGTCTCACATTGAACGTGGTGACATTTTCAGGACAGTCGCTCTGCTCGAGCCACGGCTATTTAGTGCCGCCTGCTGGAGGGAGGCTGCTACCACTTTCCGCTTGATCAGAAGCCGTTTAACCATTTTCGTATCCTTGACCATCTCCCTTCAAGCACTAGTACTGTCTTTGTCCTCACTCGTCAGACAATGCTGCATATTAGCAGAATGAACATCTTAAAGGTTGTTTTTCCTCCACTACTAGTGCCACTTTTGCCCTACTAGTACTGTATACAATTATACCTTGCTACTGTGGGGGGGGGGGGCTCGTACCGCTACTCAGCCCAACTAGTTCCTAATGAAGGGCTCACACTCTTTATCCTCACTCATTGGGACATTGGCATATTATTAGGACAAAGTATGTTACTCGTGAGGGAAAATTTGTTGACAACTGTGCGCTACTACCACATTTATTCCATATGCTGGATAAGGAGGCTCCTCGTGTTTGACACATGCCTAGTTGTGGTACTCATGCAGCACAATAGTTTACTAATAAGGTTGAATTGTCTCACTAATTGTCTCACAACTGGAGTAATGACAAAGGGTTTACTAGCTTCGTATATGGACCTATCTTACTAAGGGTTTTTTTTTTCTTCCACTGTTGTGAAGAACATCCTGCAGACGAGTGGGACAACTTTGGAATAGTCGTACTACTAGCGAGTCACCAGATGTTAACTAGACGTTGATGAGTAGCACGGTTTTGCCTCACTTGGAACTTGTAGTTGACCAGCTAGTATGCCAAAGTTGTCCCACTAGTGGGGACAAAGACTGTACTAGTATATCGATCAAGAACATGGCTGTCCAAACATACCGTTTAGTTACAAGATAGCACTGTGCCTTAGATGGAGGTTTAGAGTTTTTAGTGTTGCTGTTAACTCACAATTGAAAAAAAATTGTGTCCTTACCTCGGCCTCTGACAATCAAGATCTTTGTGAATGGAAAAAAAAAAACACAACTTATCAGCCTGTCCCCAAGTAACATTTGTACTGTAAATATATTCGTGTTCTGAGATGATATAAACTGTTAATAAAGTCTCTCAAAGCTAGACTTGAGATTGCAACCGTCTTTATTCATTCTTATCCATTTTATTTTCCAACTTCACTGCAAAAGTCTTGAATACATGCCCTGCTTATATTTCAGCTTTAAGCGCAAAAAAAGAGAAAAAAAACACCCAAGAAGAACCACATTCCAAAAAAGTGCCGATTCATCAAAACTGGTATGCATGTTAAGCAGGGATGGATAACAGTGAACTGTATTCCCCCCTATTGAAAGCAGCATGTATCCTCAAATGAAATGCTGTTTGCATGTTACTATGTAGATAGAAGATATACACACACAAAACCTTTTTCAACCAAATTATGTTTTTTTTTGTTTTGTTTTATGCTGACTGTAGCCACCGAATATTTTCAGTATCATTCCATCATTGAATTGACTAAAAATAATTTTGCATTCTTCTAACGTCAAACAAACTGAAATTACATCTGGCATTTTGTACTCTCTAATTGCACTTATTTTTTTTGTTTTTCCCCTAATGATGTTAATCTATTGCAGAGGGAGTCAGATGCCATTTCTTTCAGGGCGTGACCACTTTGAAAGCCGTCTCACATCGCACATCTGACGCAGTACATGTTGTCCCCGGTGCGGACGAAGCGCTTGTTGGCCAAGGACAGGCTGCACTTCTTGCAGGTGAAGCAATTCTCGTGCCAGGAGAACTCCTCGTAGTTCAGCACTTTGGTGCCACGGGCGAACCCTGTGGACATGCGTAGACGTCAGACAATGTTGAAAAATCTTTGCAATTATTGATTTGAGTTGTGAAATCAGGGACATTCACAGTTTTTGGGGATCAATGAACATTCTGCTGTGGTCCTAACAGACAGTTGGTAGGTCGGTGCATCTGTTTCTTTTTTAGACAGGATGCAATTGTTTGCAGGAGCACACATTAAGGAAGGCCAAACATTTGTAGCCAGCTCAACGCCGGTTGTGACGACGTCACCCCCCGGACACGGACGTGGAAGCAAAGGAGATGAGGTAAAAGAGAAAACGGTGGAAGCGAATCTTCAGTCTTTGCCAGGAGCAGAACTTGCTGCTGACTCTTTGAACTTTTGCCATACCTTTGTTAATTTGTAATTAAATTGTGATCCATTCAAACCAAATGTGATTATGTCATGCAAGGGGCATAAATGTTGGAGGCAAAGGAGACAAGAATTTTAATTCAGGTCGTTTTCATTAGCTTTTATAGTGGGGCGGGGGGTGACGTTTTTTTCATTAGTTTTAGTTTTCTCATATTGAGGTGTTTGTGAGTTCAGGATAAAACAAAAAGGAACACTAATTGTGAAATAAAGTAAACAATTCTCAAAACGGCGGTTTGACCTTCCTTTGTACGAACTTAAAGCAATACCAAAATAAATGCATCTGAAATGTGAAACTCCGAAAGCTCATGTGTGATATTACAAAAACAAAGGACATTGTCATTAGAACTGTACATAAAATATAGTTTCAGTGTTCGGTTTTTTTCCCTCCCCCTGTTAATTTTCATTAGCTATAATAACCTTGGTCTTTCCCAGGAGCCTGACCTACTGCAGATTGGAACATTTGAGCTTTTGCCATACTTCATTTACATTTTTCTGGCAATTAAGTCAATAATTGATTACGATGAATCAGAAATCTGACGTTTAAGTCATTATTGGATGACGGGGACATGGGTCGGGCTTGCTGATGTAGACAAATAATCAACCCCTGTTTTACTCGTGTCAATAAAATTAAGACAAGTGTAATTCCTCCAGAATGGTGTGCATTTTTTTTTTCAAAAAACACTCAAAATTAAGGGGCAGCGGTATACATACGAGCACAGAAACAGCTTAGAGAAATAGCCTAAGGTGCTGTATCTCTCAGCTGTTGTAAAACAAAGTAGGGGAAAACAGTCATGGCAATCACCGATCATCTCTGATGTTTACAAGTGTGGCCGAGGCGAGAGCATGGTGGAACAGCGTTGCGGTGAGAAAGACTTGATTTGGAAAGTACTTCTTTCTGTCTTGGGAACCCGCTATTATCCAAAACACCACACCGGGTAAGTAAGCTATGTTTGTTTTCGTTTACGGACATTTGACTTAGTCCCCAGAATATAAACGCTTATGCGAATAGATTAAATATGACCATAATTTTCCCACCCTAATCTAGCGTCCTCATTTCATGGTCTGACCTGTGATGGGGTTCTTGCAGCCATGGCACATCTTGGCCACATCGGTGCGGTAGCAGTCCACGCAGTAGAGGGTGTTCTCGTGGTTGGTGAAGCGAGTGCCGCTCAGGGGCTTGCGGCAGGTGACGCACACGAAACACTCTTTGTGCCAGGGGTTCTCCTGGTAGGTGATCCCGCCGGAGGCAATGGGCTGAGGAGGAAGCGCGGGACGTTAGATGTACCGGTAATTATTTTAAGTCAATAAGGTATTTTAGCCTCTTGCAGACCACATAAAATGATGTGGCGGGCCATGTTTAGCCCACAGGCCTTGTTTTTGACACTGCTTTCTTCCTTAACCCCACCAGAAAATGTTGGCTGTACCTCCTTGCAATGGAAGCAGTTCTTGGCAAACTTCTTTTCATGGCAGGCGTTGCAGTAGATATTGTCGCCCTTGGCCAGGAAGCTCTGCGTGCGGATTGGCTGGTTGCACTCGAAGCAGGTGAAGCACTCCTCGTGCCAGAGCTTTTTCTTGTACTCCACGTTCTTGGCGCCTGCAACACGAGCACAATACGTTTCACTTCAAGTGTCCAAAAAACGGCCATTCCTTCAAACCGGTGACACGGGCTCCCTCTAGTGGTACAGTTGGATTTTAACTTTTCAAGTTCAGTGTGTTTGCATGAACATCAATAGTCCAAGTATCAATAGCATCTGATTACCTGGAAAAAAAGTTGAAGCTGATTAAGTATCAAAATGTTGACGCTTTGGCTTTTTGAGCTGTTCACGTAATCACTGTGACAGCATGTGCTGTAACACGTCATTGTTTATTTTGCACTTGTCTCCTGGTCTATTTTGCTATGAAAATGCCGTATGGCGTTGTCAAGTATTGTCATCATTTAGATAGCACTCCTGACCATCTCAGGTTTCATATGTGCTTTGGAGAAAGAGGAAAAAAAATCGACACGTATAGCGGCAGTAGCTGGCAAATGCAGCTAGCCTCCGAAACAGGTTTATGAAAAGCTCTCCATCCGAAAACAGCGATCAATCCCTTACCAAAATTTCTGTGCAAATGTAAATGCATACCCAAATCAGTCTTTCAAAATATTAGAACAAACGTCCATCCATCCATCCATTGTCTACCGCTTATCTAAGGTCGAGTTACACGGGCAACCGATTTAGCAGGGAAGCTCAGACTTCCCTCTCCCCTGCCACTTCTTCTAGCTCTTCCCGTGGGATCCCTAAGCGTTCCCAGGCCAGCGGGGATACATAGTCTCTCCAGCGAGTCCTGGGTCGTCCCCTACCGGTGGCACATGCCCAGAACACCTCCCCTGGTAGGCGTCCATGGGGCATCCTAATCAGATGCCCGAGCCACCTCATTTGGCTCCTCTCAACGTGGAGGAGAAGCGGCTCGACTCTGAGCCCCTCCCGGATGACCGAGCTGCTCACTTTATCTCTAAGGGAGAGCCCGGACACCCTGCAGAGGAAACTGATTTCGGCCACTTCTATCCGGGATCTCGTTCTTTCGGTCATGACCCACAGCTCGTGACAATTGGTGTAGAATAGATCGACCGGTAAATGAGAGCTTCGCCATTCGGTACAGCTCATTTTTCACCATGACAGATCGATACAAAGCCTAATTGGGGTGATCGTTTTATAATATTTTCGGAATATGAAATGGATATGCAATCAATCACATTTTTTAAAAACATGAAATGGCGTTAGTTCATTCGCTCATGACATCAATTGAGATTAAATTTGCTTAAGTTTTGCTAACGCCCCATCTCTAACTAAAAGATTTTTCATTTTCCAAATCTTCCATGTTAACTTCAGACGAGACTTGAAAGGAGTCAAATTGTAAACAAGGGCGAATGTGTTGGTGTGTCTCACCTGGCATCACCACCTTGTAGCATCCCTGGCAGCGGTTGCCGTCCTCGCGGGAGCTGCACTTGCCGCACATGATCTTGCCGTCGTCGCGGGCGCAGAAGGGCTCGCTGGCCAGCGGCGCGTAGCACTTGGCGCAACGGAAGCAGTCCTCGTGCCAGTGGCGATTCTTGTGGTGCAGCTCCTGGACGGGAGGGAACGGAGGTGTCGGTTAAGGCCACTCCAGCCGACGTTGCATTATGCTATGGTGGAGCCAGCTGTGCGCAAGTACATTTTCAGATATCGCTCCTTGACTGGTGTATTGATTTTTCTTAAACTTTTTGCTTTTACCACTGACTCTCTTGAACCTCTCATACTCAAAAAAAAAAAAAAAACTCAACAAAAGTCAACACTTACTCCCACCACAAAAATCTCACATTCACCAAAAGTACTTTCACTCACATCACAAAAACTTTTGCACACAAGAAGTCTGACACCTACTACAAAAATTATCACACCAAGAACTCTCAAATATCAAAAACTCTTTCTCTCTCACACGCAAAAAGTCTTAAATTAAAAAAAAAAACTAACAAACACATAAAATTCTCGTGCACAATAAACCTCTCACACTGACTGAAAAATCTTGAAGGAAAGAACTCACATAAAAATGTCTTACACACCAAAAAAACCTCACACTTACCAAAAATCTCTCACACTCACAAAATGACCCCAAATAACACCTAAAACCTCTCACTCTTGCCCCCCCCCAAAACTCTTACTCTCACCTTAAACTCTCACTCATCCAAAAACTCTCACACTCTCTCAATCTCTTTTGCCCTCAATCTCTCTCTCACTCTTTCTGTTTAACTCATGCTAACGTGCGCAAACCAAAAAAAACTGTACCAAAAAAAGTTAACAAAAATCTCACATCGAGCACACAAAATACATTACACCTAAAAACTTTCATACTTGTCCCTAACACTAAAAATCTTCACTTACATCAAAACTTCTGCCCACATGAAAAATTCTACCTAAAACACTCAAGCATAAAAAAACACTCATAAAGCATCCTAAAATACTTTCACTCACACCCAAAAAAACTCTCCTGAAAAAAAACCCCAGTTACATTCACTCATTAAAACACTTACACAAAAAAAAAACCCTCACTCACGGGAATCTCAAAACAAAAAGCGTTCACATCAATCGATAAACCTCTCGCAAGCCAAAAAAAAACTCTCACTCACACCGAAAAAAAAAATTTTTTTCTTTGTGTGTGCGCGAATGTGCATGCATGTTTGTTCCTCTCTGACCTTGGAGTCTGCTCCGATGGGTCGCCTGCACTCGGCGCAGGTGTTGGCGCAGATCTTGTCAAAGCACTTGGTGCACACATGCTTGTCGTCCTTCTTGACGAACTTCTTGCCGTGCAGGTTGTCGCGACAGTAGAAGCAGTCAAAGCGGTCCGTCATGGTGGAGGTCATGTAGCTTCTGGGGCCTGCCAGCAGAAAAACAACAGCGCAACGTCACTTCTTTGTCTCGGCTCGCGCTGAGGGACGTGTATCTGCGTGGCTGCTGTTGAGGCATATGCCGCTTTGCTGAAGGTCTTGGGATTTCTTGTATATATTCGGTGACAAGTTTGCTGATTGGCGTGGAGGTGATGTGTATATTCCTGTACACCTACAGAAAGCACGGGTTTACCCGGGGGGTGGCCTGACATATATGCCCACCTTAAAAAAAAAGAAAAATGGTACGGATGCTTGGTAAAGCTCGGAACAAGTGGTTTCACATTGCAGTTTGAGAGGCAAAAATAACATTTTGCGCCCCATCAAAGCACACTGAAGAGAATGAACCCCTGAGATGTCCCAGTAAGCTCCTCTGGGCTGAATGCACGTGTCGCTCACGTAATCTACAGTCGGAGGTCGAGACAAGCTCGGTGCTACTTACACTGCAACACCTAGCTAGCAATGAGCTTTGTCTGTCTAAACACGTCGCGGAGTTGCTCCTAAATCGGGAATGATTTGTCTCCATGGTGGCGAATAAGATACACTTCTGACAAGTATTTTTCTGATGAAGGAAGAAACCATGCTAATTGCTAAGCTAACATAAGATTGTTACGGTTAGCGCGTCTAACAACGGAATGAAGTGTCTGGGTGATTGAGTTCACTTTTCACAGAAGTCTGTCTGGAACATCTTTGAATAGCAAAATAGCAGTCAAACTAATAGGTTCAGTGTTAATAAGATACACTTATGACGAGTATCGTTCTCACCAAGTGATGAGAAGACGGAAAGCCATGCTAATTGTTGAGCTAATGTAAGCTTCACAGAGCTAATGCATTTAACCCGCGAATAATGTGCTTGGGTTATCGAGTGCCGTACACTTTGCCTCAGTTTGGCTTCCCCTAATCACCTAATAGTTGTTCCGGTTTGTAGTCTGCCTGGTATGTATTTGCTGTGGCTGCCCTTTCGTTCCTATCCACAAAAAAGCCCCATGAGACGTAGTGATGACAATCTCAAAGGGCAAAACCAAAAATGACTTTTATCCAGCTCCATTCCAAAATTCCATTGCAAACCCCGCCTGCGCACAAAGATGCCCCCGGGGTTGACTGCATTGTTATTGGCAATCCACTTTGGTTTTCGTGCTTTCCATCGCAGGAATGCAGACTGATGTGTGGAAAAGATTTAGCCTGGGTTGCTCTGGCTTATCGGAGAAAAAGTGATTGATGCTGGTGCTTTATTTAGTTGAATACCTCTACAGCTGGAGCTTTGCGCCAAGGGTCAAGGGTTGTGACATTTGGGCTTGGTTAGCATGGTGACACAAATATTTGGGAGCCATGACTGCAAGCAGACTCTTCGACTGACTGTGTGCGCGTGTGCGTGTGCGTGTGTGTGTGTGTGTGTGTGTGTGTGCATTCATGTTTCGATATGCTTGTGTGTCTATATTAGGGATGGGCGAATACCGATATCAGGTATCAGTATTGGGTTGACACTGGGCTTATTCTGGCCACCATGACATCCATCCATCCATCCAGCCATTTTCCAATCCGCTTTTCCTCACGAGGGTCGCGGGCGCGCTGGAGCCTATCGCAGCTGTCTTTGGGCAGTAGGCGGAGTACACCCTGAACTGCTTTCCAGTCCAATCACAGGGCAGACATAGACGAGCAACCGTTCGCGCTCACAATCAGACCTCGGCACAGTTGCAGAGTGTTCCATTCACCTGCCATCATGTTTTGGGAATGTGGGAGGAAACTGGAGTACCCGGAGAAAAACCACACAGTCACAGGGAGAACATACAAACTCCCACACAGGAATCGAACCCTGTGCCTCTGCACTGCGAGGCGGACGTGCTCACCAGTGGACTACCATGCTGCCTGCCACCAAGACAAAAGATGGGGGGGAGAAAAAAATAAAACCATCAAGTAAGTCCTCCTTAGCAATAGTTGGCACTATACATTGATTTATATACCATAAGTACTTGAAGTATTGGTAATTGGTATTTGTGAGTACTCTAAGAGTGAATGTTTTAAAAAAAAAAAAAAAAAAACAAGTGATATCGACCATCCCTACTCTGCAGTACTGTTGTGTGTTTGTGTGTGTGTGTGTGCGCGTGTCTTTGTGTTTGTACATCGAGTGTGTTTGGATATTTGTGTGTATACTTGTGTGTCTCTATGTTAGGGTGTGTTTGTTTGATTCTCTGCACATTGGTGTTTGTTTCTGTTACTGTGTGTCTGTATTATCGTTTGCTTCTGTGTTTGTGTGTTGTTTGCGTGCTTGTGTGCGTGTGTGTGTGTGTGTGTGTGTGTGTGTGTGTGTTTTTGAGTGTGCTTGTGTGTCTGTGTTATTGTGGGTAAATGTTCGTTTTTATGTATCTAAGCATTAACGGGGGCCAGTAAAAAACCTGGAAATGCATGCTGTACTGCATTATAATTACACAAAAGATGTGAAATAATACCTGACGTATTCTTTTACTTTATCCTCCATTATCACAAGTTGGAACCAACATTTTTACGTGTTCCCCTACTTCAATAATTAAGGTGGCACTGCCTCTTTTAAATTGTGCTCACCCCACCGCCCCCTTTTTTTTTCCTGGATGTTCATTTGGAGCATTTTTAGAGCTGGAATTTTTTTTTTTTTTTCATTTACTAGTTTAAGTATTTTAATACATATCCTTTGTGTAAGGGCACGCTGTACCCCTATAAGTGACTGGAGGACACTGCTTTTGCTGTTACCGTCAGGTTTTGCGATCAAGGCTATGAAACGCGGCCCAAGAAATCCCACAGTGCGTCGTCAGTATCCTTCAACACAACGCAGTCAGACACCACCGTAGGGTGTGTCAGGTGTGTGTCTACTTGTGTGTCTGTGTACAGTGTTTGTCTGTTCATGTGTGCTTGTGTGTCAGTGTTGGATGAATGCTATCAATGCGCAGCTGTGCCAAGGGGATCAAGTGGGTCACTTGAGGAAGGAGTCACAGGGCCCTGAATCAGTCATCAGCGTCATCACGCAACAAATCACAGTGGCTCTTTTCTGAAGTCCAAGTTCTATTTTGGGCCCACTAAGCCTCCTCTGGTTATTGTGCTTCCAGTGGGGACAAGTTCAGGACTTGGCCTTTAATCTTTGTTCCCGAGCGCGACAGCTGACTGCCACCGATGCCGTTACATTTCTGCCAGAAGATGAGCCGCTTGGGGTCAGACCACTTTGAGGTATGAGTCAGATCAGCGCAATGTGGGGTCTTGTGTGTGTGTGTGTGTGTGTGTGTGGGGGGGTGGGTGTGGTTGTTTTGCGTTAAGTCTTATTACATGTTGTTATCCTTAAATATGTTCGTGTAAAAGCAGTTTCCTCATAAGATTGTATTCTGTGACAATATAAGCACTGAAACAACCAAAAGAAAGAATAGACTCTTCTTTCACCAGAACGTTTTTCTAGCTTTTGAATTCTTTAGTGATCATTCGTCAAACATAGAGAGGTCGCTTTCACCAAAAACACCGGTTTCTGAGCAAACAGTAGAGAAAGGCGGCTTTTTGTGAAAAGAAACCTGTCAGGATAAATGTTCCTCCTGTTGCCCACTGCAGATCGCAAGGTCATCTGCTGAACATCATGGTACCTGGCGGATTCCAGTCGAACCTCATTTGTCAGACTATCCTTTGCATTACAAAGAGAAAGGGGCTCAGATGGGATCCCTGATGGAGTCCCACCTCCACTGTGACTTCTCTGTCACACCCGCAGCACACTTGACCGCAGTCCGATTGCTCTCATGAGTATCCCGTGCTACTCCAACATACTATGTGTGTGGTTACACACTCACTATTTCTATTTCTAGTTTTACGTGTTTGTGTTCACCTCGATGTTTCCATGTGTGCATTTCCGGGTGGGTAGGTTTTGGGTTTTATTTATTTATTTACTTATGTATTTGTGGGTGTTTGTGTGTGTTAATGTTCGTGTGTCTGTGCTTTATTTCGTGTGAGTGTTGGTGTGTGTGTGTGTGTGTGTGTGTGTGTGTGTGTGTGTGTGTGTGTGTTTGTGTTATTGTTTGTCAATGTTCTTGTGATTGTGTGTCTTCTTTTACGTGAGGGTTTGCATGTCTGTTTGAGGGTCTCTGTGTGTTTGTGTGTGTGGGTGGTTGTTCATGTGTGTACAAGTACAGTGTGTGTGCATTTTTTTGTGCATTTCATTATGTGTTTGTGATTGTGTTTACATATTGGTACATTATGATGTGTGTGCTTGTTCGCATTTGTTAGTGTTTCATGTATGGTCGTGTCTGTGCGTGTGGGTTCACTTGTGTGTTTGCCTTATCAACACAGGGGGCCTTTCATTATTAGATCCAACGCAATGTACGGCTTGCGATCGCCTGGCAACCAATCTTGTGTGTACTCCACTTCTCATCCAAAGTCATCTGGGCGAAGATGGATTGTTGGTGGCTACATCGGCTGTAAATTGAAGCGATTACACGTTGCCCACTGTGTTCCCCAGTTAGTTACGATGGAGCCGGAATGTTCCACCGTGGGGGACTTGACATTTTAGTAGTTTTTTGGGATGTGACCACTTCCCCGCCGTTATTGGACCCTGTTTTTATTTGGGGGAAAAATGATGACTCCATCCTGGGCCAAATATTTTTTTTGAAAGGTCACCGTGGCCTTTGACCAATCCACTCATCCCTCAGTCAGAGCGAATCGCACTTCCTCCGGAACATGTTTGTCACGGTTTTAACAACCACACATGATTTAAGATCACAAATATGCATGGGTTACTTGACTCGAGTCACGTGACTTAAGTCAGACTCAAGTCGTCAATTTTTGGACTTCAAACTTGCTTGGCTAAAAAAAGTCTGTATGGTGAAAATATATGCTCAAGACTCGAGAAAGAAATCGTGACCCATTAGTGCTGTAATGCCCGTCTCTCTGTGATCACATACATTTTTGGGGATACAAAATAGCTTAGGTGTGTGAATGCTTGTTTCTCAGCATTCACGTCAACTTTTGATAGCATATTTCTCAGCGTTGAATGCTGATGCTCACTCAAGGAAAAACAAAAGGTATTAAAAGTCCTTTTGGTGACTACTCATGCTCACTAAGTCTCGAAAGCAAGTGATTGTCTCTCAGCATTTGTACAAAGCAAACAGGAAAATAGTTGGAATGCTTATCGGTCAGCCTATACTGTAAAGTCATATGCTCACTCTGCAGAAATCATATAGTGCAAATGTAAATGCCCGTCTCCAAGCATTCAACAGAAATCATACTTGTGGCTACTAAATGTCAACGTGTTAATGTCTCTCAGCATTCACACATCTATACTAGCAAGAAGGCATATGCCGAATATGACTGAAAAAATCATTCATTGACTCGTCTCTCAGCATGTACGATACAAAATATTTTCCAAATAACGTAGCCTTAATGCGAACGCTTCTCTCTCACCATAAATAAATCTGGTGACCGGTCATATTCTCAAAATAAATAAATCCTATGCTCAAAACTGTAAATGCTTTCTCTCCGCATTCACACTTTAACATTATGGACACAATATAGCATTGATGGCAATTTTTTTCTGTCTCAGAATTCGCACTCATTAGGAAGCATATTGCATATTTACATGCTGGGGAACATATGCTCGACAATGCGAATGCTTGTCTCAGCATAAATTTGATTGCATGTCTCTCAGCAGCAACAGAACTGTTCGGAACAAGGCTCAATATTCTCTGTCTGTGCTCATTATAGTCGTTGGTGTTCATGCTTGTCTCTCAACATTCACACAATGTTTTCAATGCTGACATCTCAGCATTGCAAGCTGCATTTGCTCACTATTACATAATCATATCCTAGAATCACTATCGTGAATGCTTGTGTCTCAGCGTTCACCTGAATTGACTGTATTATCTGGTACTGTTTTGAACTGGGTTCAATCCAATTATAGCAACAGAGTTTTTTTGTTATAGTTTTATGAATGTTCATTTTCACTATCTGAACTGAATCATGGTGTCCCTCAGGGCTCAATTATAGGTCCACTTCTTTTTAACTGTATTTTAGACATTAAGTCATGAATGGCAATAAACTTCTTGCAGCTCATCCAAGAAAACAGTGCTTGTTAGTCATGAAACACTGCCAGGAAAAAAATAAAATAAGCCCTAAAACGGAAGCCGGTTAAACCAAAATTTTGAACCCTGCATCAGACATATCATCAATGGCTTTTATCTTCTCAAAAACATTGCCAAAGTGTGTGCATTTCTCTCTAAAGTCAACAGACACACACTAATTTGTGCTTTTATTCTCTATTCAATTGACTATTGTAGTTATGGTGATTAATTGCCACAGCAAAGATCATTTCAGCCTCGGCATTTGCACACAATACTGTCACTGTTGTTGACACACATTAGCACTTGCTTGAATGCTTGTCTCTCAGCATGCACACTAAACTGTAACTAAATAATCTGGCTGCAAAACAGCATCGCGAGTGAGGCATGCAATCAGCATGGTGTGAATGCTTGTCTCTCAGTACCAACTTGTCACGTTTACAGCCAAATTATGCACTTTACGCCATCCCAAATAGGAGCAGGTCTACCTTTAACATCACCCGTCAACCATTTCGTTAAGTTGCTTCTGTACTTGTAGTCATACCTGAGTGCTTGAAGAAAGTCATCTTGCTTGTCTTCAGGAACAGCAGCAGATGTCGATACAAAAGATGGAGGCAGTGGCAAATGAGGTTGGAACTCACATACGCTTCAGTTCCGGGGGGTCCGTATATACACTCTTGCATACACCCACCCCAGACCACACCGACCCCCCACCCCAGTCCAAATCCAACCTTTGCATCCTTTTTAGGCCTTGGAGAATGGATAGCATAGATTAGATGATGGAGATTCGATTCCAGTGCTGTCCAATCAGAAGGTTAAAAATAGGATTAAAAATCATTCTGAATGATGGCAAACCCACAAGGACAACACATACTCCCAAATCCCCCCTCCCTGTTGAATGTTTTGTCTCTGCCGGCTGGACCGCGTCAGCATCGCAATTCGTCCTGATGACTCAGAGGGGAATAAATTGAGCACGGTCTTTTGAAGTTTATTTTTGTGTTTGCACGTTTTTTTCTAGTGGTCATTTTCAAGGCTGTCAGTTGGGAAAATGGCAAGCACACATTTGGGGTCCAGAGCTGTGATGTGATTGGTGGTGGCAGCCATGTGGCAGATATGCTCCAGATATATAGATCTCTCTCTCTCTCTCTCTCTCTCTCTCTCTCTCTCTCTCTCTGTCTCCCCCCCCTCTCTCTCTCTCCCCCCCCCTCTCTCTCTCTCTCCTTCTCTCTCTCTCTCTCGATAGATAGATAGATAGATCGATATTATAAGGGGATTATGAAAATCATCTTTCATATGAGTCCCACTTGTGTTAAGTGGGTCACCGCTTAATTTTATTTGACTTTTCTTTTCAAATATTTGAGATTGAGATCATTTATTTAGATTATAACATAAATTATATAGATCTTCAAATATCTGGTGACGTATTTTTACTCAACTTGTAACTTCAGTTTTACCTTTTTTTTTTCGTATTTTACACTCTTATTTTGACAATTGTCTTACTTTCACTGGGTATGCCACAACTGAGGAAGTGGCGCGAGAATCTGACTGCTGTTCAAGTCTAGCTTGCGACAAGAGGCGACATTGAGTAGAAACTGGTGTAAATTTCGAAAAAACACGGCACTCACCATTTCAGAATGACTATACTGCCATTCCATGTTTTTTTGTTTTGTTTTTCGATAGATTGAATGGCACTGTTAAATTGGGCCTCTGGGTGTTGGATGAATTTTTACTCTGAAAGTTTTAAAATTCTTTTTACCCGCTTCGTGATGCGTTCACTGACAGTATGAGTAAGTGCTGTGATATGTTTTATTCATTTGAATACTAACATTTTCAGACTGTTGGCTTTCAATTGATTTTGCCACAAACACAAATCATTGCGGTGAGCTCGTGCATGTGCGTGTGCGTGCGTGAGTGTGTGTGTTTGGAGGATCATCTGGATTTAATCACACAGGCCCTAAAATTGTGTTTGTCACTTCTCATAACGCCCTAGCTGATTTCTATTCAAGTTTGTTTTTCAACAACTCTCCCAAAATTGTAATCGATGTTTGCATTGCTTATCAGAGGCAATCAATCACTTTCTTCCCCTTGAGTTGTTTGTCCTTTTTCAGTGCGCGGCTTTCACGTCTGCTTTTGAAATGTGGTTGAAATACCAAACTGATGACCGCAGGAAATTGAATCAAATTAAAAGCAAGGGTTTATTTTATTTTATTTTTTTTGCCTGTACAGCCAGTCGGTCTGATCTCAAGGCAATGAAACCACATATAGGAAAGCTTGATTTTATGGTTAGAGGAGAGTAAGTCTTGTAAACAACAAAATATACAGTACTTAGTGTTTTTTGTGTGCTGCCTGCAGGTACTTTGGACCCCCAAAAATATTCATTAATTTCTTTCAATTGCTGCAATTGTTACATTTTTAAAGCAGTTAAGGTTTAGGTTCGAAATACTCCTTTAAATACGTTCAAATGTACTTGCAAAAAATATTTGCCATGTTGGTAGTTCCATGCTTCTGTATTTTTTTTTTGGACATTTTTAAAAATGTATAAATCTTCATAGGTCAGGTTAGTTTACAATTTTACCAGACAGCAAAATTTAAATAGTTTCACAACTGTCATTTAAAAAAAATGTCTAAGTTATAGGGGTGCTTAATTTTTCTTTTGTAGTGCATGATTTTTCTCATCATTGTAATTCTTTTTTGTGAAGGGGGGAAAAAAGTAACCATATCCACTTTGGTCACACTCGGTTACAATATTTCACAATTTAGTAAGCTGCTGGCAACAAAAGTGAGTACACCCCTAAGTGAAAATGTTCACATTAAAAACCCAATAAAAAAATATAACCCCAGGGACTTTTCGGGGGGGTCTTTTTAAATTAGCATTTTGATAATATTCATTTTGAAATCATTTTATAACTACAATAATATAACATATCGCACCCCCGCCACCATTTCCCAAGTTCTCATTGTTTAGTTAAAATGACATTTCTTTCTTTCAGCATGTTGTGTTTTCTAGTAGGTGTTAATTGTTGGTCTGTTCATCCCATTTCCTGTGTGTTACACTGGAATACGCTTACACCAACACACACTTGTAAAAACAGGAAATCTGGCCAATCTTCAGCATTATCCTACCCGAGAAAATTGTTAGTCTGCGTCCTTAATATTGAGTTAGGGTGCGGACAGAGCAGTGGCAGGCTGCTCTACATTATCACCGGCATGGTGGCAATGACTCATTCGAGCGAGCACACACACACACACACACACACACACACACACACACACACACACACACACACACACACACTTGTGAAGCAAAGGTCACACATGAAGGTTGAGGTATGTGTGCAGTAAAGGCCACCGGGGCAACTGTCTATCAACACACACACACACACACACACACATGCAGATAAAAGTACTTGAGCTCTAATTTAGTCCCATCTGCTTATGCGATGAGCAACTGGAGGCTTGACTACACATGTTGATGTAATTTCGTTTCGTGATCAGATGGTCAAATACGCTACGCAGTCCTTAGTCGGTTGGTGCTCAACTCATTTTCATCACCTGTCATATCATAGTTAGGATTGCCCTCAGCGGCAAGTGCTGGGTCAAAACCCAATGCCAGTGTCAAAAATAATGCATGTGTAAAGAAAACATCCGTAAGTTTCAATCAATTGGCCTCCAGACCATCAGAGTGTGACCATATGTCAAACCACAATCCACTGGAGCACATTCGAGATGCCCTCCAATCCTGTAGAGCAGGGTAGGCAATTCCGGTTCCTTGAGATCCATATCGTGCCTGTTTTAGATCCCTCCCTGCTCCAACACACCTGATTCAAACGATCAACTCATCACCAAGTGAGATCCCTAACCCTGCTGGAGAGGGCGATCACACCAACAGCTGGCGGAACCAAAATCTCATAGGAAGTGCTCCCACATTCATCTGCGCACAGGCTGTTTTTCAAGTTTGGGCATAGTTGTGTTCAAGAAAAACACAGAACTTGACAGCAAGGTTGTCATGGTGACCGAACATCAAATGTACACTAGCAGCTGATGCCAACAAACTCAGTTGAAGTGAGTCAAGGAGCTTAATTTAGACAAATGTAGTCCTTTGCCACCATCTTGTGGTATCTGTATGCCAAGGAACTCTGAAGTGAGTTGAGAAGCTTCATTGTGACAAAAGTAGTGCTTTGCCACCATTAGGTGGCATCTCGGTGGCAAGAAACTATGTTGAAGTAAGTTGAGTAGCTTCATTTTGACAAAAGTAGTGCTTTACCACCTTCTTAATGCCAAAGAATTGTGCTGAAGTGGAGGAGTAACAGTCAGCCAAACGTAGTGTTTTGCCACCATTTTGTGACATCTTAATGCCAAAGCACATTGTCGAAGTGAGTTGAGGAGTTTCATTTCCACAAAAGTAGTGCTTTGCCACCATCGTGATGCCAAGGAACTACAGTATGGTGAAGTGAGTTGCGAAGCTTCATTTAGAAGAAAGTAGTGGACACTTGACTGATGTGTTGGCCTCATCGCTGGAAGTCCGGTGCCTTGAATTTTTCAACGTCCATCCATCCATTTTCTTGAAGCGGCCACTTATTAGCGAGCGCTGAGCTGAATCTCTGGCTGGACAGAAATAGCGTTGGCCCCTCTACGGCTGCCGCTCCACACTGCTTGTGCTCTTCAGCTGACTGGCTGAGACGGTGGCGGCATGGAGCTACTCTTACTCAACCGCATGAGCGGCAGCAAGCATCCGAGACACGGAGCCCTCTTTCTGGATGGCAATTAGCCAATTTCGTTCTGCTAACCTCGTCTGTTTAATGGACGGAAGCTAATTTTGCGAATGAAAAGTAGCATCTCTTACTTTGACTCAAGTAAAAGTAAACAGAATGTTGTCTTAGAATTACTCGAGTAATTCAACCCAAACGTTTTACTAAGAGATCAAATTTGGATCTTCACCCAGTAGCTGACCAATCTGAGTCCAATCTGCTGCTTTTGTGCTGACTTTATGGAAAGAATGTCGAAATAAAAAGTCTTTTGTGGCACAAGCCGATTTGAGAACGCCTGAGAAATGTTTTATGGGCACAAGAAGGCGAATGATGTCATTGTGGAGAGGAAGCAGTGGGTCTGATCCATGATGACATCATACGTTTGGTTTGGGAGAGGCCCAAAAGGAGAAGGGAGGTGACCTTGCAACCAGTCACTTAGGCAGGCCCCACAGCAGCAAAACTACAATACAGTACAGTATTGTCTGATTGACCATCTTAAATTTATACCACAAGCCCTGTGTAAAAAAAAAATGTTCATCAAAATTCTCCCATGGGAAATTTATCCAGAAGGCTCAGCTGACCCACGCAGCACAGAAAGGACAAGGACAAACAGCAGGAACAAAAAATACACAAAGAAAATATATTTCAGAAACGCTAAAAAGAGCATCTGAAAAACGCATTTTGACACATTCGTTTTGCCATGAATTACGACCAGATGAGGGAAAAAAAATCACCACAGCATCACCTGCTCGATCAATATGTTATTATATATTATATATAATATGTGAATTTCTCCATTGTGAGACAAATAAAGGTTTTCTTATCTTTCTTATCTTATTATGGCGCATGTGTATACATTTCAGTGCTTAAGTCCAATCTATTTAGAAATGTAAACGATAAATGATAAGCAACAGGCGGCTATTCCACTCACAATTTAATTAACGGATGTCAAACACACATCTAAAAATGATGAACACGATTTGGATGCTTGACAACAGACTACTTTCGATGTGCGCATCACTTGTTACTACACAAGACAAATAAGAAGTCTAAAAAGAGGTCAATAGAAGGTCATTTGTTGTGGCACGAGAGACATGTTGAGCATCAATATCACATGGCTGGACTCACCTTCTTAAAGAACGCGGCTGCGAGTGTCTCGTCTGTTGGCTTGTTGGCCGGGCTGTGAAATGCGCTCGCCTCTTAAAAGCCGCAGCGGGCAAGTCAAGAGGGAGGAACAAGCCAGCAAAGAAAAAAAAAAAAACGAAAGAGGGGGGAATAAAGTGCAGGACATAAGCCAAACCTCCATAAGCACTCACAAACAATGACCTCAACCAGGAATTTGGAAGCTGGTGCGCAGGCCAATGAGATTAGGAGGAAAAGGAAGACCAGGTGGCACCAAGGTGACTTTCTGTCATGAAAACACTGCTTAGTTTTATTTGACCTGATTCACTTGTTTATGTCAAACTCAAGTTTTGTAAATGGTTCATAGTTAAAATTTAAAAAAAAATCATCAGAACCAGTTATACTTGACAATTTTAAATGTTGTTTTCCTGCTGTCATTTTGGCACTGGCACTGTTGTTGACCCATTGTTGAAATGGTGTGATAGAATTAAAAGTGACTTATATTGTCTATAAAATTGACCAGACGATTACAATCGGGCTAAAACAAGCACAAAGAACATGCTTGAACATCAAATTTTCACCACTATCCTAAAATACAAGAGCAAAAGCTTCAGACTCAAACTCATTTTGACATTTGACAGCAGTTAAAATTGACCTGAAATTTACTGAACCAGAAAATAAACAAAAATGAAAATATTTAACATGTTGATCTTTTGCACAGGTCATACTAAGTTTGTGTAGGCTCAAATTTAATCCATGTCTACTCCTAAAATGTATTGCCATAAACAACAATGAAAGTCCCGCGAACTGTCCGTATATCCTCCACATTTGCATGGGTTCCAACAAAAAACATGCACCTGTTGAAGAGAATCTTAAAATGGTAAATATGTAATTTTATGGGACGATGTTCACAGGGAAACTTGAAAGAGTCCTGGGAACTGTCTGCGTGTCCACCACATTACACATTCCCGCATAAACATGCACCTGTTGGTTTTGAAAGGAGATCTCAAACTAAATACAGTCCTACAAACTAATGACAGTGGATGTTTTTAAAGGATTAATTCACGTCTAAAAAAGTTTGAATACTTGATTAAGTGAGGCAATCGCTTGATCAATGCGTGATATCAACACTCCCTGCAAGATTCCAACCTTTTCTACGCGGGGGGGGGGGGGATACTGTTAAGTGGACACGCTCTCTGTTCTCCTTCTTTGGTCATAAATATGAGAATTAAATGAAGATGACTCATCCTCTGAGAAAAGTATGCGCACATCTGTCTGCTTTCACCTCCGCACTGCCAAAAAGTTAAACAGTTTGAACATCAGTGACACTCACACACTTTGACATTCCTGAGTGAGCAAGAAAAAGTTTATTTTTAAAGACATGAGGTCATGTCTGCAAAACTCGAGACAATGCCGAAATGTGACTCTTTAAATGTGACGCGTTAAATCTGACAATTTGAGCCACAGTCAATTCAGGTAAAATTATTTTTCCAAGAAGAAATTCCACTGGTCTGTACTTTCTGATTAAAATGGCTATAAATAATCATAACAAAAAGATTAGGGCAAAATCTACGGTCAGACCGGCTGATATCAGTCAAATGTCTGCCTCTTAAGTCATATCTTTATTGACATAAGCATTAACAAACCCACAAAACAGCCGTTATGTTCATTATATATTTTGCAAGTTATTCGGCTGATTAATCGGTTATCTTTATCTTTTTGTTTTTTTTTTTAACGGAGAAAAAATAGCACAATGTAATAAGATGCGTTGCAAAAACAGATTCATTATATTATCAACTACACTGTAAAGAATTGGGTAACTGCGCGTCACGATGTACTACAGTAATGCAATTCCTTTCATTATGCTTCTGCTTCTTCTTATGCCTTCCTTGGCCACTGGGTGGCAGTGTAATACCGTCCAGTCGTGCAGACTAAAAGACAAGACGACTTCTACTGCTGTGGTGAATCATTAAAATGCTGTAATATGTATTTTTTTTTCATTGAAAATAAGAAACACATGCCTGCGAGGATCGCTATCTGTCTGAATGTGTTGTTCCACTTTTTGTGTTGGAATATCTGTTGTTTCTAAAACTACATCGATCAGTGCTAACCGTTAGCATGTCAGTAGTGCTTGCCATCGTTTGATAGCTTTAATTAAGGAGACTCTGTGGCTGTCGTGAACGCACGTTTCGTCTCTTTCAAAATTATTGAAACGACATGGTCAGTTCCTTTGCCTTCGTGGCATACTGACGACATTTGGCTTTCAGATCAAAATGAATTTGATAGCGAAGTTGAGAATTTCTGTTTTTATTTCCTGGCATGTACATCTGGATGTGTTGGACAACTCGGGACAGAACAACTTTTGCTTGAAGCCACCAGCAGCAACATCACTGGAACACGTGACTAATGGGTGTTTTTAAGTCGCTTAGTTGCTGCCTTTTAGATTGATTGCTTGTTTATTCTGGCTTTGGGTTTCACCTGTGAAAACTTAATTTGCTGCTAAGCAAACATAACGATCAGAGAGTGGTCCATCGGAGAAAAGCAAACCATTTTGAAACTAAAACAAGGATTTTGCAAAGTAGTACGGAGATGAGCCACAAACGTTTTGGAACAGTTTTATAGACTGATGAGACCAAGGTGAAGGAAGTATGGTGATAGAAAGAATCTGCTTATGATCCAAAACACACAAGCTCATCTGTGAAGCATAGTGGAGGTTGTATGGCTGCTTCTGAAATATACTCACTAGTCCAGGGGTGTCAAACTCATTTCACATGGTGGGCCACATACGGCCTCGGTAGATGTCAAGTGGGCTGGACCATTAAAATGATACCATACTTTGCTATAAATAACCAAAACAATATGTCTTTCCTTTGTTTTGGAACAAAGAAGCACAAGAACATTAGGAAAATGTTGAAATTTAATGAACATATCTTTTACAAAACATTTCATGAAGCACCTTACATTTCCTTCGACAAATGTGCAATTTACTTTTATCATTCACATACATGCATTGCAACTGATCCCACTGATTGTACAAACTTTAACAAGTAATTGGTATTGAAAAATATAGTAATGCACTTTAAGATTAAACGAGATTTATGAAGAAAGGAAGTTTAAAACCATTTACACGTGCATATAAAATCTAAATGTAATCCCTGCCTACATCTTACAAACTAAGGCGAGTGCTATTAAATGTGTAAATGTGAGAGTGCTATTGATAGCGTCTGCTGTGATGGGTCTGTCTCAGTGACGGACTGAGGCTGCTGTTTTCTTCTCTGATCAAAACAGTGTCCCCTTGCGGATACTCAATGAATTCCACCTTATTAAAAATATTAATTCTGTGTCTTTCATGCATTTTTTTTCACTTTTAAATTATCCTGCAGGCTTGATTGAACCTCCTTGCGGGCCGGTTCCGGCCCGCGGGCCGTATGTTTGACACCCCTGCACTAGTCTTTAATGATGATGTAACTCATGATGCTAGGAAACAGAATGTATTCCGAAGTCTTTGGAACCATGTTGTCTGGAAATTTACAGAAAATTGCATCTAAACAAGACAATGACTCCACACACACTAAGGATTTCATCAGGGAGGAAACGTAACAGATCTTCGACTGGCGAAGTGAATCACGAGACCTTAATCCAGTAGCAGAAGCATTTTTACCTCCTGAAGAGGAGACTGGTGGGAGAAAACCCCCCAAAACAAACATGAACTAGAAGAGGTTGCAGTCGAGTCCTGGAAAAAGATTTTGAATGAAGAATGCAAAAGTCTGGTGAAGTCAATGATTCTCAGGTTTGATGCAGTTGTTTTATGTTTCGTCCCAAAGCTTGTCTCGAGCGACCCTGCACATATACAGCTCCAACCTCAGGCCATTCCTTGCCCAAATGGATGTGGAGAGAATTGGGCCAAGGACCACCCAGGCTCAACACGGTGAGGTTTCATCTGGCAGTGAATGTGTTTTCCACTTGAAACTTCTTGTTGTTGCATAACAATGCAGACGTATCGTAACAGGGAGCATTATGAACAAAACACGTCTAATGAATTGCTGCTCTGTTTTGATCCAAAGCTCAGTTCCGGTTTATTTCTCGTCTCATTTTTTCATGAACCGGTGAGAGGAAATGATATGGGCAGTCCTTGCCACACAGGATGTCTGCACACACTTCATAGTCACGAAAAAAAGAGCAAAACTCGCCGTAGAAAGTGGACACAGCGAGCCTATATCGTCTGTGTCATCCACAGAAAAACACTCAGCATCTTTATTAGATTTCTGACATTTTGTTTGTCTCGCCTTCAGAGTCCAGCAGGAGGCGAATTCATGCTTGCTTTGTCGTATCCATGGCGACAGCATACAAATGCACAAAGAAAGAACCTGAATGCTACGGATGGATTGAATACAGTAAGCAATGTACATTTCATTCATTTGACATCAATTCGACAAGCTGAAATTGTCATTCATTACACTTAAGAGTGCTGTTTTTTTTCAGGTCACACACCCACACACAACTTTCCAACACATAGAAAAACAAAGTGACAGATACATGCGTGCAAATATATATGTTTTTTTTTTCCTTTACTGTTCTTTTTGGGGAAAAAAAAAAAAAAAAACACTGAAAGAGAACACAAAAATATAAAGTCAAAATGGCCAAAAAAAAAAAATTCTAGGGATCTTGTCAAAGCATTGGGGCCGGGAAATGAAAACAAACGTTCAATTAATTTCAAGTTCCTGCACAGCAGAAGATAACAGTTGGCAGAAGACCTTCCTCTTCCTTCCACCTCCATATCATCACCAACACACACACACACACACACACACGGAGTTCATTTACTGTTCCTCTGTCACGCAACAATTTAGAGGTTGGGCCCAAGAGGCTAACAAACAGCCACACACACGCAGACATACACAAAGTGCGGCTAGTGCGCGGCGTGTTTTCTGGCTGGGGTTGACGACAACATGGCGGTTGCCACGGCGACGTCCTATCAACACTTCCTGTTTCACCATCTCGACCTAGACGGCAGCTGCTCACAAGCTTGCTGCCCAAAATAGCCTCTCAAAGGCCCTTGTGGTCAATACAACACATCTGTATCTCATTTACAGCTATTATTATCTTCATCGTTCTTATCAGCTGTCATGCTAAAAGTTCTCCAACTTTCTGGGGACAGAGGAGGAATTTTTCAAGGACTCCTTTAGAAAGCATTTTTACAATCAATTTCACGAAGAGGTCAATAGGTCATTTCCGAAATCGTATTTTTATTTATTTCATTTGCTATTGCATCTATTTGAGTCTTCTGTTTGCAAATGCGTTGAAATGTTGTCAATGTACGTTGTTTTCGTAATTTTAATAATTTGCTTCGCCTTTGTGGTAAACTGCTGCGTTCATAAATGCTTTTGCTTGTGTGAAGCACATTGAGTTGTCTTCTGTATAAAATTGCCTTGTCCGATGTTGAAGTGAGTTGAGGACACAAAAATTGGGCTTCAGCACCATCTGATGACATCTTGATGCCGAGGAACTACGATGAAATGAGTAGCGCTTTCTTTCGACAAAAGGCGTTCTTTGTCGCCAACCAGCAGCATTTATCGGCAATTTTAAACCTTTATCAGGAGACCGACAATTACTCACAAATTTTCTGTATTTGGAGTGTGGATTAGAAATTAGGATTATTTATCTTGATGGAGAGTTGAGCATTGTAATTGAAGAAATTCAAAGCTAAGTGCAGTGATGTGAAGGCAATTACCCGACTCCCCCCAACACTTAAATGTTTCTGAGCGCTGTTAAAACGCTCTCTCCAACACACACACACACACACACACACACACACACACACACACACACACACACACACACACACACACACACACACACACACACACACAGTATTCACAGTCAGCGGCTCAGATCCACTGTGCGCAAAAAAACGACTTTTAGCCCCCAGACGTGGAGCGTATTGCTACCTCGCGCACCCTCCTCGCCAGAACTTCAACTGGGTTGAAAGGTCGCCTCCCAGGCACTTGTTTAACAGCGCGCGTACTGTTTAGTGGCGACCAATCGCCATCCGGCTCCAAAGGAAAAGTCCCAAGAAGTATCCTCAGCATGCAAACCAAGCTTACAGTACTGCTGCTATATTGTCAGAAAGGTGGGAAGCCGTTTCAGCGTTTATTCAATTTCCAACCGGTGCGCTGAGTGGTCCACGTACTCTTACGCTCTTTGCCATCAATAGAGACAAACTGTAGAACGACTGTCTTACTCGTGATGATTTTCCGCTACTGTATTGAATGACATTTCTGCATAGTAGTCGAAAGACTAGGACACACTAGTCGGACGAACTAGTAGGACATATATTTCCGACATTTTCACTTCTGAATTATGAGCATCCAACATTTGCTACTAGTGCAGAGAAATATCATAGTTTGTGCACTAGATGGTGCCAAATCAATATTGAGACATGGTTCTGGCCTGAGTGCAAAAGCAGTGACAAAGCTGTGGTTCACTGTCATGAAAAAAAAAAAAAAACTCATCAATTGTCAGAAAGACAAGTCTTACTAGTGTGTTGAATCGTCTGATTGACAGAGCGTACTATTACATGGACTAGATGAGTACACGCACTAGTAGGATATGAAAGAAATGCTCAAACGGCTCGCCATAGAGTACACATGCTGCGTGTCGCTACAATAAGGTGACTCAAAAGCCCAACGGAAATGGACAAATAAATACATTACGGTGATGGTGGACGAGAAGGGCGACGTGACGAGGTAGCGGGAGAAGCGAGAAAGAAGCGGGCCGCGGCGGCCTCACAAGCGGCAGCGGGGGTCTGTGAAGGGCGGCTCCGAGTCGTCCATGGGCAGCACCAGGCGCGTGCCCCGCATCACCAGCTCGTGGTCGCCGTACGCCAGCTCCCTGTCGGGGTCGTCGGCGGCGGCGCCGTCGGTGCTGACGGTGATGTCGCCGTAGTTTAGGTTGACATCGCCGTCGGTCAGGATAAGGTCGGAGTCGTCGTCCTTAATCTGACACTCGTTCTGGTGAGAGGCAAGACTTGAATGTAACTCATTCACACAATACATTGCGCTTGAGAGAATACAGTCAATCCTCAACAGACTGCAAATTTTAAATAGTGTCCTTTTTTTTTTTTTACCGCACCGCTGTATTTTGAGGGCGAGCCAAAATCATTTCAGCATACGGCAGAAATAGAAGAACTGCCCTGACTGTTCCAATACTTTTGGAGGGAGAGCAGTGTCGATAGCGTTTCTCTCAAGACGGTTGCTACGTACGCCCTGTGAGGCTAATGAATGTATCATCCAAAGTACTGCTTCTTGCTTTATATTCTGTAAAATGAATCTTAGCATATTTCAAAATCCAACCAGTTAACGTGGCCTCACCTCGAAGGCCTGCGGGCTGGTGAGGAAGTGAGCCAGGGGCCCGCAGCAAGCTGGTAGCGTGGCTGTGAGCGGGGGGCCGCTGTGGGTCAGGATGGGCTTCAGGTAACTGGGGGCTCCGGTCAAAGAACGCAAATTTTACCAATGAAACATTTTCAATTCGGACCTGCAAGTCTACCCCATGCTGGCCGAGCCACAATTAAACCTCAAATCACAAAACAAACGTACTCCTAATTCTGCAAGGATACTTGTGGTCAAAGTTGTACCAAATTCGGAAAAGCCAGGCACTTTCCTGTTTAGTGCTTTGTCGCTCGGAACCGTCGCTGATGCTCGTCTGTGCAAACGCAGTGAGTGTAAATATGCATCGTTGTATTTGGAAAAAAAATTAAATAAAATTTTACGGGTTATGACAGCTTGGGGCAAGCTGTCATGACCCGAGGAGTTTAAGTATCTTGGGGTCTTGTTCACGAGTGAGGGCAGGAGGGAGCGAGAGATCGACAGGCGGATCGGTGCAGCGTCTGCTGTGATGCAGACGTTGTATCGGTCTGTCGTGGTGAAGAAGGAGCTGAGCGAAAGGGCAAAGCTCTCAATTTACCGGTCGATCTACGTCCCAACCCTCATCTATGGCCACGAGCTATGGGTCGTGACCGAAAGAACGAGATCCCGGATACAAGCGGCCGAAATGAGTTTTCTCCGCAGGGTATCCGGGCTCTCCCTTAGAGATAAGGTGAGAAGCTCGGTTATCCGGGAGGGGCTCAGAGTAGAGCCGCTTCTCCTCCACATCGAGAGGAGCCAGATGAGGTGGCTCGGGCATCTAATTAGGATGCCTCCTGGACGCCTCCCTGGTGAGGTGTTCCGGGCATGTCCCACTGGCAGGAGACCCCGAGGACGACCCAGGACACGCTGGAGAGACTATGTCACCCAGCTGGCATGGGAACGCCTCGGGATCCGCCAGGAAGAGCTCGAAGAAGTGGCTGGGGAGAGGGAAGTCTGGGCTTCCCTCCTAAAGCTGCTGCCCCCGCGACCCGACCCCGGATAAGCGGTGGAAAATGGATGGATGGATGGATGGGTCATGACAGCAGGGCCGCACTCACAGAGTTGTCTTGGTCAGAGTCCACTCCAACCCTGTTCATGAAAGCAAAAGAAATAAAGCAAGTTTAATTCACGTCTGGAAAACGGTATGCGTAGAACAATCAATTGGGAATAACAAAGCAAAAAAGACGTTTCAGGATGAATCTCGTGGTAGAAAGCCTTTTATGGACAAATGTATTGGTTCCGATCCAAATGTGTTCGCAAGGCAGAAGGCTAACTCAAGAGTTAAGTGATATTTCCAGTCCGAGGGACCAATGTATTTAAGAGCTATGTTTCAATACTTCTGGTTGCAAAACAATCGGACAGGGAGTGTTTGGAAAGTCGGTACCGTATGCGCTGGCACGACAACATCTGCGTTGTGCCGCCGCCGCAGAACCACACGGTGAAGAAGACCACGAGCAGCGTGGTTGAGAACATCATCTGCCGCGCGTACGTGGCCGTGTCCCGGATGGACAAGGCGAACGTCATGGCGCCCCGCAACCCTGTCGAGCAAAACGGGGACGCACAGAAGTCACGACAAAGAAAAAAGTGGACAGAAGCGAGGGACTCGAGTCACTTCGCCGGAGTCGGACTCAAGTCGGCGGTTTTAGGAGAGGCGCCCGAGAGCGTGACTGACCTGCGAACATCATCATGTGCTGGAAATTGGATCGGATCTTGTTGCGTCGGCCCAGATTGAGGAGGAAGGAGAGCGGGTAGATGTTGGCCGCTCTGCCCAGGAACACTGCCACCTAGGATGGACGTTGGTGAAGGAGGACTACCGGCCCAATTCAGTGAACAGCTGCGTGTTTGCATTCGGAATTTGCAAATTCAGGGTTTTTTTTTCATGGAATTGATCCACCTTGTGCTCAGGCCAAAGCCATGGCGAATTGCTTTGCTGCCATCTTGTGCCATCTGTCGGCACTTACAACCCATTTTGGCAGATTTTCGCCCCGCATGACCTTTTCCTTCCCCAAAAGGATACAAAAGCGCCAACGATGAACATGGGGTTAAAGACATGGTTCTGGAAGGTGAAGAGGGTCAGACCCATGTAGGAGAAGATGAAGTTCTCCGCCAGGAAGTTCAACAACTCAAACAGCTGCAACACAACGCATCTGTATTTACTACGTCCCCCAAAAAAACAAAACAAAAAAAAACAATCCAACTGTCATTGTGTTTTTTTTCGTTCTAGTCTGACTTGTTTGGTCCGGTCCTGGGACTCGGGAGACAGGTTGTTGAAGGTATAGTGCGCCTGAGTGATTCCACAGAACAATACCGCCACCACACCTGTGGCACAGCAAAATGGAGATACCGTTAGAACGTGTGTGCGTGCGTGTGCATGTGTGTGTGTGAGAGACCTGTGAAGCCACACGCCTCAGCCAATAAGAAGGTGCTCCACGACATGAGGAAGAACAAGGCCGTCTCCAGCAGCTGGAAATCTCTCAACTTTGTGAACTTGGTCACGTGCGGGCGGTTGTCAAGGAGTTGAACCGGGCAGAAAAAAATAAAACAATCTACACAATACAATTGGAGAAAGCATTGATTTGGCGCCATATCATGGCAAGGAACTATGTTGATGTGAGTAAAGGAAGCTTTCTTTTGACCAGGGGAGGTCGGCAACTCCGGTCGTAGAGAGCTGCAGTCCTGCAGCTGCTCATTTGAATGAGGTGTTTTGGAAGAGGGGAAACTTCTAAAACAAGGAGGACTCTCTTTGTCTGGAGTGGCCTACGCCCTCCCTTTAAATCAAAGTATTTCTTTGCCACCAGCTTGCGGCAACTTGGTGCCAGAACTATGTTGGAGTGAGTGAGGGCCCATGACTAGCCAAAATCTGCATACTAAAATTGAAAAAACATTTTTGTTAAAGAAATAAAATACAAACAAAAAAAAAAAAAAACGGTGAAAATAATGAAAACTAACTGAAACTACAGCTCATGTTCAAACAACAAACTAAAAGTAACCTAATTAAAGTTACCTGAGCAATCATGTCCACTTTCATTTTTGTCAATATCAAACGTGATTTTTTTTTTTGCACTTAACCAATACTCTATATAATTAAAAACAAAACAAAAAACTAAAACGAACACTAAAAAAGAAAAAAACTAAAGTAAATCAAAGCCTTTTCAAAAAATAAACTTGCTCTAAAAGACAGTGAGTATAATTAGGTGAAAAAAAAGTCAAAACGAAATAAAACTAATTCTAATGAAAAATTAAAAACTATTATAACTCTGCCGGATACAGAGAAAGCTTAATTGGGCCTTCTGCCATCTGGTGGGAGAGCATTTAATTGGTCACGATTCATCACCGTCACAAAGCAACATTATTTTATCGTAAGTAAATAACTTTTTGGAGCAATGAAGACAAACTGGATGATTTTCCACAGCACATCTAATGACAGTATCGCTCACGTCACACTTTGTTTTTTCTTAGGTAAACAGAATGATGAAAAGGATATGAGCGCCGTGACGACGCCGGTGGCCACGCCGAGAGCGAAGGAGCCGCTGAAGACGCCGAGGAACATGCCGAAGGACTTGAACATGGCCACGACCTCGAACGTGTGGCTGTTGTCGCCCTGCGGCTGGTAAGCCACAATGGACCTGCCGACAACATCCACCACACTCAAAAAATCCCCTTTGAGACGTAAATGGCTCAAGTGTAGCATGTTGCAAGGATACACATTGGACGTGCGCCTCATAATCCAGGACAAGAGTGAATCAGAGATCTTACTTCCATTTCTTTGCAGGTTAAAAAAGGAAAAACAGAAACGAGAACCGTACAGTGTGTGTGTGTGTGTGTGTGTGTGTGTGTGTGTGTGTGTGTGTGTGTGTGTGTGTGTGTGTGTGTGCGTGCGTGCGTGCGTGTTGCAGGGTGTGCCGGATCCTCTGAATGTGTGAGTGTGTGCGAGTCCGTTGGAGTAAGTGTGTGCACATAATGACTATAATTATGATTTGGCAACTGCGTTATATGTTAGTGATAGGCTACGACACATTGCGACTTCGGGCTACATTGCCACCATCGGAACGAGGACCCGTGCGTGTTTTCAACTAAAAAGCAGAAACAGTCTGAACCATTGCAATCAAGTCAGGGCCCGCAAATCAAAATGATTGAGCAGTATGACAAAGTAAGACTGGCTCAGCTTTTCCCTCTCGACCAGTGGCGACTGCAACCTTTCACGATGGGGCAGCATCTGACCTTCTAAGTTCCGCTGTAATTTTCTGCAATCAAATATTTGGCTTTTAACGTGATGAACTTGGCGTGCATTTTTTTCACTGAGTCTACTTTGCAGCGATGCTGGAGAAGTCCATTTTTGCATTCCCCCTCTCTACACTCACTAAAGGACAAATCTCCAGCTGTTTGCTCTCTCGACATCTACGTGCAATCAATAATAACAGCAAAAAGTGATTTCTCGTTTGCCGACTCACAATATAAATAAAAGATTAAAAATAGCACACTTGACTGGTGATTTGTCTTTGGTCCCAAAATATTCCCGTCGCCACGTTCTACTGAGTGCAGCCGTTTGCTGGCTCGCTCCGAGATTATTCGCAGGGATTATGCGAGCCTCTGCAGTGATTCTAAAATGCTTCTGTGGAAAGAACGCAGTCCCATGTCGGCAAGGATGGAATTATATTATAGTGGAGGTCATTGGTGTCTAAACTATGGCCCGGGGGCCATTTGTGGGCTGCCATCCATTTTCAAGTGGCCAAATTTCCATGGCACGTATATAAAATTTAAATTTGACATGGTCCGCAAGGCTAGTTCATAAAAAAGGCTGGAAGGGGGCAGAGTGAGAAGGGAGGGTATTAAAAAAATAAAATAAAATGTCATTACTATTTATAAACGGGTTTACTGTAGAGCTTTTCAAGATATGCAAAGATACAAATAAACTATTTGCAGCTAAAATAATGACAATTTCTCTTCAAAACAGGGTGTTGATAAATGATGAAATTTTAGTTTTCGATGGTTCTGAATATGGAGATGGGAAGTTTGGTCACTGTTCAGTGCAGTAGTCGATCGAGTCCAGTGGAATATAGGATTGATGTGGTGCTCGCCTACCTTTTTGAAACTGATTCAGTTACGGGTTCGGTCAATGTTTTTCAAACTAAAAGCGGATGTTTGCAAATGTCTTATTTTGATTAAACCACCAAGATAATTCATCTGACTTCATAAAGGTCTCCATAAAGCAGAGAATAATTACTGTTCACAGGCTGAAATTAAAGGATGTGTCAATTTGAAGTGAAACAACAGCTCAAAACGACCCTAAAAATAGTTGTTGATTCATTTGACCAGCGATTATTTGTCATTGATGTTGACACCTCTCATCTTTAGAAATCGGAATGAGAAGATAACCGCAGGTGAACTCACGAGGAAAGGACGACGGCCACAGCGTCGTTGAGCACGCTCTCGCCGAACAGCAGCGCGTACAAGTCGACGTCCACCTGAAGCTCGTTGAAGATGGCCAGAACTGTCACTATGGCAACGGAAGACACAAATCTATTTAGAAGCATGAGATCAGTATTTATAAAGGCTTCTATTTGGAGACGATGTCGTTTGAAAAGAAGCCAAAAATGGAGACGCACCGGGGTCGGTGGCGGACACGATGGCGCCGAAGAACAGACAGTCCGTGAAGAAGAATTCGCCACCGAGTTGTCCCATATGCTTCATTAGCATCACACAGCCATACATCAACAACCTGGCAAAACCAGAAACAAAAAAAAAAAAAACACGCCAATTATAAATCACAACAGATGTGTACAGGCATGACAAGTGACAATCTTACCCGATGACGAAACAGGAAACAACTGTCCCCATAAAGGCGTAGGCCAGGATGGAGCCCATATTCCGGAAAAAGTGTCTCTGCAAACAAGACAGACACACTGTCAAATGTGACTCTCCTTGCCTTGAGTGCATGTTGATGATGTCATCAAGAGGAGACCCAAATATTTTTTGTTCACCCGCTTCAGGCTGTAACCGGCGTGGAAGATGATGGGCGGCAGGAGGATGTTAAAGAAGACTTCAGGGTCAAACGTCACCTGAGTTACATGCATGCAAGACAAAAAAACAATTTGGAGATGTGGTAAATAGTTCATCAAATGTCCTGAATGAGCTAAACAGTTTGAAGGTACAATGACTTGAATTAGTCATGAAATGTGGAAGGACAAAGTTGGCTTCGTCCACACGTAAAATATTTCTTAATTTTTGTGATTTTACTGTAAAACTATCGGCCCTTTTCCCCACCTTGCGCAGCATCTCGTTGTCCTGCACGTCGTCCACCTCGCTGGCGCTGATCTCACCCTTCAGCGTGTACTCGTAGAACTTTCCCTTGGAGTGGACAAGCAGCGTGGCGGGGCTAGCATTGACGTGGCAGCTCAACGTCACGTTGCTGACGTCGCGCGAGACGTGGATGCCGTAGCGCAGCACCACCCCCACCAGTAAACCTGGGCACCAGACAAGAAAAGGCACCATTTGTTTTGATTTGAAATTAAATGTAATTAATTTAATTTATTATGTAATGAATGGACTTTCTTGATTTAGAGATGTAGGACATTTGTATGGGATGTTTGCACACTTAAGTTCACTGAAACTGTTTACGTGCTGCTGTTTTGGTTAGCAAGAGAGTCTGTCACGTCTTTGACAGACACACCCCCAATGCTCACTTTTGCCATCCGGAAGTACATGACACGTGATGGTGAAACGTTATTTACAAGGCCTATTTACTGTTCAAAACTAATATATGGTTAGAGGCTCACCATAAATCATCGCCAATCCAGTTTCGTGCAAGAAGCGGAACCGGCGGTGTTTAAACAGCCAAATGGTCAGAATGGTGAGGGTGAGGAGCAGGATAAAGATGAGCAGGTCAGCGCTGTCCTGCCGATGGCTCTCCTCAGCCTTCTTCTCCGTGACGATATTCTCCATGGCACTGTCCTCCTCCTCCTGCTGCTGCTGTTGTAGTTGCTGCTGCTCCCGAGGTGACGAGGATGCTCGGCACACGCACACGCACAGACACAGACTCGCCGCCAGCAGTGGCAGCAAGCGCCGCCACTGCGTCCCCGTCCCCCCGCGGCCTGGGCCAACAGTCCACTTAAGCGCCATGGCCTGATATTCGGCAGCTAAAACGCTGCGGTGTCGACGTTGCGGAATCCAAAACTTTGGCCAATATCTTACACGGACTAGAAGAGCAGGTAAAAAACGACAGCAACAGAGGAATCGATTCTGACCCGGAAGTGAAAATTGTGTTTTTCCAGGACGTGTAAAGAGGCTTCAACTTAAAAGCTACACGGAAGAAGTTGCAAATTTAAATCACCAAAAGTAACGTGATTAATTTTATTGAACTGAATACAATAATTGAGGCTTTATTTGGTATTTCATACAAATGTTACTCTGCCTAATTTTTCTCACCAATAAATTCTGAATTTTTTATTTTGAAGTCCCGTATTAATGTTGCTCATGTCAACGAAATAAAATTAAAATATTGCACAATTTATGTAAAAAAATACTTGAATAACAAAGAATACTTGACGTCACGACGTTGGCGGGGATAATGTGATGTATTCGAACGATATTTTAATCTATCGCACCGCAGTGCTGAAGTAATTGTAGTTGTATTAAACTATTTTGTCTTCAAAAAGTCTAGTTTATTTTGGAAGATCTTCGCTTTTCCGAGGAGCACATGAATGCAGCATGAAGTCCGTTGTTTCACTGACATGTTTCTGTTGGGCGAGTAAAGATGCAATTGTGGTTAATCTACCCTCGACATTATTTTGTATAGTTTTAACGCTTGGCTGGTAATCCCCGATCTTCGCATTCCACGGTTTCGTGGAAATTACAAAAACAAGCATGACATCGAAACAGAAAGGTACGTCCATTGCCCATCTCGTTTGGTTAGCTTGCTATGCTAACATTATCTAGCTAGTTTCTGTGTCAACATCATAAACAACAATGCAAAAGCAAACACATATTACATTAGTTTTAATACTTGTATTAGTAAGCGGAAGCTTTGTAAAAAAAACCCAAACATATACTGTACTGTATTATATTTAATTTTAATACTTGTATTTGTTAGCGGAAGCTCTGTAATGAAACGGCTACGAATTATAACAACAGTTTAAAACTGCACTACCAAAATTAAGCGCATTTGTAACATTTTGGGTGACAGTAATGTGACTTCAGCAGAGCAGTGTATTTTACTGAAGTGACGTTATTAAATTCAAGCAGTTGTCAAAAGTGTTGCAGTTGTTTATGTAGCCTTTATGTATTTCTCGGCAAGGGTAATTTATTGGTATAGTACCTTTCATACACAGTGTTTTAACAACGAAACGAAGTAAAGCTTAAAGGGTCGGATTTTCCACACCAATCGGGCTGGTGCAGTCCTAACCGAGCCTTGTTGAATGAACCGATGAAGCCTTCTCGCATGAGAAACGAAAAACAACCAGAGCAGTCAAGGTGCAATCGATTTAATGCCCGGAGAAAGAAGTGACGTGGATGAATGAGAATATGCACAAGCATGAAACAAAGTAATCGTAACAAATAAAGTGAAATGAAATGAAATGAAAAGATGACAAGATAACATTGTGTGTAACATTGTGGTTATGAGCATGCTACAAGTTAACGTGAGATTCTTTTTGGCTCCAGCTGGTAAAGTTGGCTCCAAAAGTAAGGAAGATGCTCCCTACGAGTTGGAGAATCAGTTCGTCCTGCGGCTGCCAACAGTAAGCATCTGCAGGTTTTTATTTCCTTCATCTGTAAAATGAAGTGTGACCAATTTCTACCCCCTCCTTTTTTTTTTTTTTTTTTTTTTTTTGCAAGGAGTATGCATCTACCGTGAGGAGGATTGCCCAATCTAGTAGTATGAATATGAAGGACAGACTCACCATTGAGTTGCACCGTGAGTCACCTCTTTGTGTGGGATCTTAACATTTTAGAAGCGAGTCTTTTTTCAGTGAAAATTGGATTCCATCTATTTGTGCTACTTGAATATTTGTGGTGTTCCAACTTCTGCTATTGGTCCATGACATCAGATGGATGCTCAGATATGTTTTTTTTTTTTTGTTTGTTTATATTAATTCACAGCTGACGGTCGCCATGGCATCGTGAGAGTAGACCGTGTCCCTCTGGCCTGCAAACTGGTGGACCTGCCCTGCATCATTGAGTCTCTCAAAACAGTGGACAAGAAGACTTTTTACAAGACAGCTGATGTCTGCCAGGTAGAGCAGGACCAAAGTATTGTCTTGAGGAATAAAAATCCCTCCCTTTTCATTCTGTAGGGTGGCTTAATCATGAAGTACGGTACCGGACTTGTGTGCGGAGAGCGTGGGATCGGTTCCCGCTCCATGACGGTGTGGGTGCGAATGGCTGTTCGTCTCTATGTGCACCCGGCTGGCGACCAGTTCAGGTTGTAGTAGTCTGGCTTTCGCCCAAAGTCAGCTGGGACAGGCTCCTCGCGACTCTGCATAAGCAGTGTGGAAAATTACATGACAGATGACAGAAAAAGAGAAATAAGAACAAGAGCCAAAAGTGCAAAAACAATGACAACATTACAGCGACATGTAACAATAACTTCGATTTTTAACATGTGACGGGAAAGGAGTGTGGTGATGCAAGTGACTTAGCATGGGTAGTGTATCAAACAACATTTTGCGGATCCAATTCACAGTAAAAGGTTATATTACAAGAAAGCCATATTTTTCCAACAACAAAAAAAAAAAATCAATGGATTTCATCATTTCAACGTAATTTTCACGATATGCGAATTGCACCTTTTATTCTGTAAAAATTGCCCTCATTTGCAAAAAATAAATAAATAAATAAATAAATTTGGGCTTATTCTCTCCACTGCCTGCCTGTGTGTATTGCCAATTATTTCGAACCAAAATATGTCATGTACTCACTTTGTGTGGTTAGATGCTCGTGTGTACACTAGATGGAGACCTCTACCCTCCTTTAGAGGAGCCAACGGGCACTGATCCCAAGACCAAGAAGAAGGACAAAGACAAGGACAAGAAGTTTATTTGGAACCACGGCAGTAAGAAGACAAACGCGGACACGTGTACATGCGTCACACGATCATCTTCGCCGCACTAATCACCTTGTTTTGCACCCGCAGTCACTTGTCCCCTCAAGAACACGCGCAAGAGAAGATTTCGCAAGACTGCCAAAAAAAAGGTTTGCACATCACTTTTTTTTTTCTCCCTTTTGCCTTCCCAGCTCTCATTAGTCTCTTTTTGCATCCGTCTCCTCCTTTGGCTCTTACCCAAGCAGACGTTTACATTTCTTATAACAGCACCTCTATTGAACCTTAGATTTACATATAAATAAAGCCCTTCCATCTTGGTTTATCTCGAAGGCAAAGCAACCAAAAAGCAATTTTACCGGCGCTTCTTTTCAAAGTGAAGGCACGCATGCCCGAGCGCTACACTTCAACTTCGTCTTTTGAATCAATCTTCCCGAAGGTGCAGAGTTGAGTCGCATCGATTTGGCTGCCATCTCTTTTTTTCTAATCGCTAATGTTCTCACTGGCACGTGGCCAGGTGCTTTAACCCGCACGCCATCTCTCTCTCTCTCTCTCTCTCTCTCTCTCTCTCTCTCTCTCTCTCTCTCTCTCTCTCTCTTCCCATCTCCTCACAGTACATCGAATCGCCCGACGTGGAAAAGGAGGTGAAGCGGCTGCTGAGCACAGATGCCGACGCTGTCAGCGTTCGTATCCTTCCTCCCCAAACGCTCGTCCGTCACAGCACGCAGCAGGGACGAAACTGCTTTCGTGCCATGACCCGCAGCGCCTCGTCTTAGCTGACATGAGGCCATACAAAACTAAACAAAGCAGGTCATGTGAGCAGGTAATTCTAAAAATGTGAAGCGCAGGGGTGGCCAAGCCTTTTCCCTGTTTCCGGTTTAGTCCTCCAGGGGACCATACTATCCCGCCATTTTTATATTAACCACCACAGGTCTGCTTATAAGATTACGAAGTCTAGGGCAGGGGTGCCCACATTTATTCAGCATGCGAGCTAATGCTCCTTGCGAGTGTTTTCATTTTGTGTTAGAGCAGACGCATGGGGCGAATAATTAAACTGCACACAAGAAGGTCACAGCTGAGATTCAAACCAGGTTGGTTTGTTTTTTTTTTGGGGTGGGATTCACAAACTGGGCGCGTTGACCTTGACCTGTGATGATCAGGATGGGAAGTCATAGCAGAGGACGACATGAAGGACGGAGACCAGCACGGCTCTCTGGCCAACCTGGACTCATCACCTGGCACGTCGGGACACAAGATGGGTCACGGATCCTCAAGTAAGTCGTCTCCACCCAACAACTTGGCTAAAATGGAAGGACTCTTGCTTCAGAAGTCAAAACTTGTTTTACAACTTGGAAAATAAATTAAATTTTGGGGAAAATGAGCCTCAAAAGTCATTTGCGTTAAATCTTTAAGAACAATTTTTATTTAGTTTTTTTTTAATATACAGTACATTGTAGTTGATTATTCAAGTACAGTAAAAAAAATATTTAGCTATATGTAAGCACAATGCAAATGTTCAAACTGCTTACTGTTACAGTGGCTTGCACTATTTTCAATATTTTTTTTAACAAATAAATGTCACACAACAGGCGAACATTTATTTATTCATTTATTTAGCTAGCTGGCTGCACACAAGAAAGCCACAGCTGAGATTCAAACTAGCTAGCTAGCACAAATTTGGAGTTATACTCCAATTTCGTTTTGTCTAAATTGGAAGAATCTTTTGTGCCATGGCTGCATTTGCAACATAAAATGGCAATAATGGCTTTCTATTCTCTTCATTTTGATTTGGGTCGATATTTTGTTCCACTTTGGAGGTTCCGCTAGAGTTCAAGCAGCCCAGCAGCTAGAAAGTCTCTGCTCATTGACGACTGTTATTCGCCAATGCCAGATGCTTAAAACATTTCAATATGATGGCCCGGTCAATAATAACCTTCACAACAGCTGCCGAGGTCGGAATGTGTCAGTATCCAATCGGAGTTAACGGGCGATAACTCTTTACGTCGACCAGCCCAGCGTGACGAACTGCGGGAGATGTTCAACGACATCAGCAGCTCCAGCGAGGACGAGGAGGACGACGGGGACCGCCACGAGGACGAGGACCTGAACATCGTGGACACGGAGGACGACCTGGTCCAAGACAAGCTGGACGAGTCCGACCCTGCCCAACGAGAGTCGGACACAAACAACCAAATAGGTGAGAGAGGACTTTTTCTTGCGAGAGAGCACGGAAGATTGCACCGGGTGTCTTGACCAAGGCATCCTCTTTACATTTTAAGTCCTGGGAAGCCCCTATGGGGGACACATTTTTCAATCCGAACCACAATGAAACTTAACAGCCAAAGTGCGAAGTGCCACAGGAATTGACATTTTCTTTTGACTCAAAAAGTCATTTTCAGATATTTTATTCATGTAGTCTCTCCTGGAGGAATGTTGGATTTGTGTGATTTGTCTCAGTCGTATCAGAGCCCAAAGTTGAGATGGGAAGGAGTAACCAGTTTATTAGTTTGTGAGGTATTAGATTTTTGAGGGGGTGGGGGGTGGGGGAGGAGCTGTCATGTTGCGATAAAAAGTCATATTTTGAATGTTTGTTATAAGCGTAAAAATTCATATTTGGAATGTTTGTTGTGAGCGTAAAGTCTGAATCTGTAAACGAACAAAAGACATTACTGTGTCAAGATAAGACTTAGTCATCTTATGAGAAACGAGTCGCATTTTTCCAAGTGGTAATATAATGACCAAAGTTTTACAAAAGGATACACTGCTAGTTTAAATTCTTTGAAATATAATGCCTTTATTCTGGAAAAAGACATTCTTGAGGGAAAAAAAATATCCACTTTTTTTTTTTTTTTTGTCCCCCCCGCTGTAGTACGACCGCTTTAGTTCTTCACCAACTCTTTCGGTGATGCCCAATTTTTGTGATCAATGATACGTCATCATCTGATCTGATCTTTTAATTGGCCCAAAGCTAATGCAAGGATGAGGAAGTTGGAGAACCACAGGTCTAGACTTCTTGAAGCCGAGTTTTCCAGGTCTCTCTCTCTCTCACACACACACACACACACACACACACACACACACACACACACACACACACACACGGAAATGTGTAGGCAGACGTTCACTCGAATGAAGTGCTTCACAGAGAAGCAGCGCTGACACGCGTTCCAACGCAGGCAGCTGCCTGTACCTTTTCATCTCCATTTGGCGGAGCTGTCAGCCCGCAATATTAGCCGCCAGCTTTGCCTCAGAAGTCCTCTTTGGACAATCAAGTCCAAGTCCAGCTGGTCTGCTCTTGCCCCGCAACAACTGCGAAGTTGGTTACAAGAATAAAAATCATTCAATCGAAGTCATGGTCCAAGAGTGCATTTTTCTATTTGTGAGGAAAAAAAAAGGTCATCTCGTTGGACTAATTTGGACTCAACAAAGAAAAAGGTTACTTTACAAAGGGAAACCTTTTTAATTTGACAAGTATTCATTTATAACCCTTTCAGGGACAGCGGTCAATACAGTGGACAGCTTCTCGTGGTATCATTACTGGTGCATGATAGGGTTAAAACGACATGCACGAATGCGCCGCTTTGTTAAGATATAGACTGTTGTGGATGTTATCGGTTTATGTTTGACAAACGACGAGATATTCAACCTTTAATGGGAATGTGCGTAATAACGATAGACGCGTAAATAGCCTCTTTTGTTTTCTTTGTGTTCACATGATTCCTATTTAGTGATATTCTATCCAGACAGAGAGGTTTGTGTGGGAGTTTACACAACCGTTCAATTCTGATCATTTTTTTTTCCTCCCCTCTTCCATCTTTTGTCTTAGTTTTTCCCTTTTACGAGCCGCTCTAACACTCTAGGAAAAAGTCGCAAGGGGAAATAAATTGCCTCCAATTAGTTGCAAAGGGGAGCCACAGTTGAGAGTTGAGGCGAGGTAGCGGGCCGTCGCTTTAGTGTAATTTAGCGGCCGCTCTGTGTGCAGCCCTGAGTAGGCTCATTTAGTTTTCCTGAGTGCTTTTGTCCGCTACCTCACATCTTTTTTTTATATACATGTGTTGTACCCATTAAGCCTCGCCTGACTGTCAGCCATGTGAAAATGACCATCATCATTCTTTTCACTTTCCCCACAAGAGCACATTCTTGTAAAAATTACCGTATTTTCCGCACTATAAGATGCATCCGAAAAGCATTCACTTTTCTCAAAAGCCGACTGTGCGCCTTATAATCCGATGCGCCTTATCAATATTCCGATTTCTTGGACGTCGTATTTTAAATGTTCTATAAAGCGCTTTGTGACTGCTTGCAGTGGTTGTGATAGCTCGATATAAATAAAAGCTTTATTGCATTGTATTATATTCCCTTTAGCATAGCTCCACCTAGTGGATGCATAACGCAACCGCAACCATTGTTGTATCTTCGATTCTATGCGCCTTAGAATGCGGTTTTTGTCTTGACTAAAACCGTCTCCTGGTGTTTGTTGGTCGCAGTGATGGAGTACCAAGTACAAATCAGCGGCGTCAAAGCCAAGCTTCAGGAAACGCGAGCCCGCAAGAAACAACAGGAGGAGCTGATCATGAAAGTGGAAAACCAGGCCCTGAAAGTGAGCGAGCACGCACGCACACACAAACTTGATGAGATTGAAGTTGTAATCATGCAGGCGTACATTTTTGTTAGTTATTTTTTGTCTTTTTTTTTTTTTAAATAAAAGTCCATTCGTCTGAATCATGTTGTAATCTTACAAGAAATGACAGAAAAGTCATCATTTAAAAGGAAAAAAAATGGAAAAAAGCTTTTTTTTTTTTTACACTGACAAAAAATGTGTGCTTTTATCAGAATGATGTCAGAATATTATGAGAATTAAAAAAAAACGTGAACCTTGGATCCTATGGGGTTTTTGAAATGTTATGTTGGGGGAAATAATTGCAAACGGGGACAGATTGTGTTGAAGCTGACGGCTGAGCTGGCGGGACAGCGAGCAGACACGGCTGCCATTTAGCGCTCCCACTGTCCTCCTTTTTGGGGGGGGGGGGGGGGCGGAGGGGACACCGTCTGCGGTCGTTAACATCACGGTCGCCACGCAAAAAGGTCAGCCGTGTCTGACTGACATTCCGGGTGGCCTTTCTGTCGCAACGAAGATAGTCGCACGCATTTGAAGCCATCACAATTCAAGGAGGTGCGAGAAGGCAATGTCACACGAATGTCCCATCTCTCTTCTCCCAGAACCGATTCCAAGCGTGTTTGGATGAGATCATTCAGCAGGAGGAGCGCGAAATGGAGCAGGTAAGATGTCCACGCAATCAAATGCCATCTGGCGTTTCCCCCTCAGTGCCAAGAACTGTGTTGATGTGAGTTGGATAGTCCTTTGCTGCCATTCTGTGCTTTTGTGACACCTTCCAACTTAAAAAAATTAAAAAAAACATGACAGAGAAAACTCGGATAATGATAAATCGTTGAGTGACGCTTGCGAACTGCAAGGCTTGATTTGAATGTTGCCATCTTATTTTTACATAGTGTTCCCCTTTCACTCTGCGTCATCTTCTCTAACGATCGTGACACAAACTTTCTACGGCCGACCGCCACCTGTGCTCATTTATATCACACGTGCACATACTCCGTTTGAGTCTTTGCCGCCTAAACTTCCGACTTCTAACTTGTTGCCGTTTCTGTCCCTCTTAACCCACGTAACAAACCGAGATTCTCCGTCTAATTGTGATCCTCTCCTCAAATCTATGGCGGTCATGGCGCCAGCCACGAAGATTGGTTTGTCGGCCGTTTAACAAACTTGGTATTTGCAGAAAAAAAAAAAAAAAAACGGGCGAGAATGGCCTCCTTGAGAATCAGTTCCACACGGGAAAAAAACAACAGAAAATTGGTGAACAAGTGAATAGTGAAACACTCGTAGACTGTAACCTGCTTTTGGCTACGAGCTCATTGGGCAACATTTCAGAAATGTCATTTTTACTCAATTGTCTTTGGTTCCGCATGATGAAAACTTGTTCATCCGTGGCGCTGAGCCTCTCCTGCTTGTCCTGCTTTTTCAACAGCTGGCCTCGCTCCAGGAGCAGCTGGACTCGCTGATTGAGAAGTAAACACTAGGGGGCGCCCTCAGCACCACAGGAAAAGCGAATGATGAAGAAAAGGAGGAGGAGGACCTGAGCCTTGACAGACTTGCTGTGTCATTCCTTTTTAGTTTGGTATTTTTACACAGATCGCAGAGAGGGCGCCGATTTGCATATCGGCTCAGATCACGTTGTTTGTAGCCGTGTCAGTAAAGTGTTTTATTTCAATAGAGAATGATGTGTCTTCCTGTGTTTTTTTTTTGTAGTCAAAACCATTAATGCAGCCCTTGATGGCTTTCTGTTATGCACGCTCGCAGACAGGAAGTTTATTTGGCCTTTTTACTGTTTAGAGACTCTGGCGTATCATTTTTTTTCCCTTGTCGGTGGATCAACCTTCAAGGTGTGTTAAATCACTGAGCAAATATATTCCTGCTGTGAATTCTGCTTAATTCCTCACACTGCCTTGGTTACACTTTTAAATGAACCTCATTTTATGACACGGTTGCCCCCCCACCCCCACCCACCCATCACTTGAAGCACACTGGCACTCATGAGAAACTAAGAATGATCATTGGGCGATCTTAAAGCTGTACAGTTTTGGAAATGGTTCAAGTTGGACTCTTTTCCTGTTAATTATTGAGAATTCATCATATAGTTATTGATTCCTCCCCTGCTCCCCTCGAGGTGTTGCACTCAACAAATAAAAATATGAACATTTGTTTTATAGATCAGTAGATTTTACTGCTACTTTATTTAAAATCACACTCTGAAATCTTACTTTCGGGGGAGAACACATTTTACAAGAATTTTATTTTTCATCAGAAAAAAAGTTGTGCTTTTTACGAGAGTACTTTTTTTTAATGGGGGGGAGCAGTACTTTTTATGATATTGGTCATAGTGTTTCAAGGGGAAGAAAAGTTTGAATCAGGAAAAGTTTTCTTGGAATAAAGTCATGATGAACAAAAATGTCATTGAAAATTGCCTCTTATTGAAGATGTTGATCCTTTTTGGGGAGAATTAATATTTAAAATATTTGAGTTCTTTCATTGACCATGCAATTTTCTGACAAAAAAAAAGTTATGTAGTGTTGAGGAGAATGGCATTTTATGAAAATAAAGTTATATAAGAGTAGGGGGGAATGTACATTTATTAGGGATATATTTAAAATATGAGAATAAATTCATTTTTTTGAACGTCGTCGTTTTAGTGCTTCAGTGACCGAGCAAAAACATGAAAGTGCATGTCATTTTTCTTCCCAATTTAATTATTTAAATTGTCCAAATATACGTTGAACCGTTATTTTACAAGACAGTCACCATTTGAAGAGTTAATACATAATTCAAGTAAGTCATATTATTGAGTACTTTGTATTTATTCTTAGCATTATTTAAGAAAAAACAAAAAAACGAGAGTAATAATTTAAGATAGTGATTTTTTTTTCATTGGAAAGAAGGTGAACTTTCTTTTTCTTTTGTTTTGTTTTCGCTCCTTTTGAAGATTTATTCAAAATATTTGAGTTCTTTCAATGGCCAAAATCAAAACATGTATGTCCTTGACAGTCTGTTGCGTACTGCATGTTGTGGCCCGTTCCCTTCCCCCCAATTGGATTACCGGTACATCCCCTTCCCGAAAGATCTTGGGCTGTGCGAAAGTCATTTTTTTCCCTTACTGCAGGGACGCTCCCGCCAATGCTAAAAGCCATGCGGGGATTAGCTCCTCAGATTAAAGTGGCCACAGATCGCCCCTATTGGGCCTAATCCCGCCATCTGTCAGAGAGCAAGCGACCGAGCACCTCTCTCATCTCCGGGCCAAGAAGGAGGCAGGCAGCACCATGGAGGACACGTACCTCCTCAAGCATCCGGGCGTGAAGAAGAAGATCCTGGTTGGAGGCACTGGCCCGCTGCCTCACTTCCCACCTGGGACGAAGGTACTTGTCACTTGACGCCTTTTTGATCAGGCGTTCTCGAGGTTTTTTGGGGGTTCAGGGAGGATTTTATTTTTATCTTTTCCAACCCTTTCATGCACCCTGGAACCTGATAACATGATAAACTGTCCACCGAAGTAACCGCTGTCCCTGAAAGGGTTAAACATGTCCCCATAATCTGAACGCTAATTAACTACCGATTGAAATCTTCATGATCTGTTTCAAAGAAAAGAACAAATTCCACTAAATCGAGCTGAATGTAGTTGAAAATGTCAATAGAACAGAACTAATGATGTGAAAATGATTTAAGATTGTAAATTGAGGGGTTCATTGGTTTGAGTGGTAGCTCTACTTTAAGAATGGGCAAAAGGAGAGATGGAATCCTTTGAACGCAGCTTTTATTTTTCCAACGTCTGTTCCGCAACTCCCGAAAGAACGAGAACACACCTCCTTCCGACTACTCAAACACTTCCTGCTTTCTTTTAGCCAATCAGACAATATCAACATAAACTTGTTTAAGCAATTATTAAACGTAATATAATTTAGGTAATCCTAACACAAAAAAATATAATGCTCAAACATAAAAGTACAATAATAAACAATTTAACAAAAGCTTACAATATCAACTCATCTTAGTAGACCCTGAAATATAAAGGCCAATCAGGTGATTTGAATTTTTCAAAACGTGCTCCAGAAGTGCCGCGTCAAATGTGGTGAAGACTCTTTGTAATTTCCACGAAACAAACCAGGCTAAACGTAGCTCCTCCCCACCGTGCCAAGATCGGAGTCAGTCCGCTTGAGAGCTGTCACTTCAACATCCTTTTTTTTGGTGCTTTTTTTCCAGCAAAATATGTGAGCATAAATTCCACAGACAAAAATGTGAATGAGAAAGATTTTATTTTTATTTTTGTCAAAGTCAAACGTGACAGCCATCATGTGGATCGGAGCTTCTTGTTGGCCTTTAGAGAGCCTCGTTTTCGCGATGATCCGGCGGGATACGGTACGTTCCAGTTTGCGAGCTCTTTCAAATATCAGAGCTTTTAATTGAAACAAAGCTAAGGTAGGGAGGAATAATTAGTGTAATACTGTATATATGTTTTATTGTCTCGTCAGACACCATGAATATGCACTTAATAATGACATATATGACATCATAATCACGCGTCGCCAATTAATTTGTGGACCCTCAAAGTATGGCTCGAAGACCCCAAAGTGGTTCGGTGATCCCATTTTGAGAGCTTTAGAGGTCAAACATGTTGATGTGCTGTGTCACGTTTATTCACCGTCAATTCGAAGGTGGTCCGATATTCACATGAGGGAATCGTTTGGTGTTTGACACTGACTCACCCAAGCAAACGTTTGGTCAAGCAAACGTTTGGTCAAGCCAACTGCGGCATCTTTCATGGCAGCGGCTCTGTGTTTGTCTCCCAGTGTCTCTGGGACTTTGTGTGAAAAAAAAAGTGTGTGTGTGTGTGTGTGTGTGTGTGTGTGTGTGTGCGTGCGTGCGTGCGTGCGTGTGTGTGTGTGTAGTTGTCCTAATTCTAGTCACATCCAGCTATTGGCACAAAGCCCGGATACACTGGCAAACATTTTTTGTGACAGTGCCAGCATGGATGTCCATGAATGTCTCTTGTGCGCCGACATTACTGTGTGTGTGTGTGTGTGTGTGTGTGTGTGTGTGTGTGTGTGTGTGTGTGTGTGTGTGTGTGTGTTTGTACATGTGTGTTTGTGACCTACCTGCTCAGGCAGTCCCGAATACTAAACACTGTTCTCACTACATTATAGACTAGTCAGAATAGCTAAAAGTACAATATGACACATGCATTAGCATATTTGATCAACAGAGCATTCCAAAGTGGATAATTTTGCTCGCATGCGATTGCAAAAGATAGCCTCATGTCCTCCCATGATTTTTATTAATTGATTTGCCTGACATGTTTCATCGCGCTGATTGGCTGTGTTGTATGACAGCACCATTTCATCGATTTCAGGTTGAAAATGTGGCAACCACTGTGACCATAACCGTGACTTTTTTTTTCTTTTCTTTTTGTCTTTGCATCGCAAGCTGGTTTTCAATTTCCAGACCCTGCTGGACAACTTTGAGCGCACGGTGGTGGACGACAGCCGACTGGCCGGTAGGCCCGCCGAAATCTTTGTGGGCAAGATGTTCAAGTTGGAAGTGTGGGAGACGCTGCTCACGTCCATGCGGGTCGGAGAGGTGGCCGAGTTCTGGTGCGACGCCGTTGTGAGTTGGATAGCACGCACGCACGCACGCACACATACACACGTTACAGTGAAGCCACACAAATAATTTGAACTTCTAAAATTTGTGACTTAGCATTTTAACCTTCAAAGCACTTACTGAGTCTCCCCTGTGAGAAGGGCAATTTAAATAAACTTCACTGACCTCCTAAATGACAAATTTGACAGGGTCCTTGATAATGAAAACGCTCAGTGTGCCGGTTTAACCCCATTCATCCACCTTCTAACTCGATAGCATGATAAGCTGTCCACTGTAGTAACCGTTGTCCCTGAAAGGGTTAAAGAACAGAGCGTGTCGTATGTGTCCTGCAGGACATACTTTGCCCACCCCCGGCATGAATCTTGATGATGTAGGTTAAAGCAGCTCATCCCGATGCACGCCGCATCACCTTACGCAACCCGCAGTATTGTTTTTCCTGGAGCGCGGCATTGACTGAAGCTGCTTTTTTTTTTTTTTCCCCGACGGCGCCGCACAGCACACAGGTTTGTACCCCATCGTGTCAAAGGGGATGCGGCTGATTGCTCAAGGCAAAGACCCCCTGGAGGGCCAGAGGCACATGTGCGGCATGGGGAACCTCTTCCACTATCACTCCACCGGCTTCCCGGAGCTGGATGAGCTCATGAGAACGCCGCAGCCTCTCATCTTTATCATGGAGTTGCTACAGGTGAGGGGAAAAAAATCATAAGTTACCAAGTTATCACCACCGCTGTTTTCTCAGAATGTTGAATTCAACTTACTTCAACTTCGCGAGCAGCATCAGCTCTTCAGCCCACCCAAATCCAATCTTCAACCCAATCTGCCGGGTCAGTGTAATTAACCCAAACTCGGGTAAAAGTAACCCAATCTGCTCGAAATGCACATCTAATAACTGGGTTAGGAAAACAACCCAGCTCATGTCAAGCTCCGTATTATAACGATGTGACTTTGACATCAGCCAGCGTGTACTCACGTTGGGTCGATGTGATCCCGTTTCCACTTCAACACATTCATCCAACCCTTTTCGGCATGTAAAACGTGATATTCCTCAACAATCACTGACAGCGATGACAAAAAGTGAACCCCCCCCTTCCCCGTCCCCGCCTACTCTGCCTGCAAACACTGCACTTTGAAGTAAACCCACCGGGGGGTCCAACAACAGCAGCATCCAAAACAAAAGTTTCACAAAAGCTTCTCATGTTCGAGCAGACAATTGTGTGTTCCTGTTGAGCACTCCCTTGTAGTCGCTCCCGCTGTTTTATTCAGTGGTGGCTTTATCTGGGAAAAAACAAAAACAAAAATTCCTGCTTCACGCCATACCTGGAGAACAGCAGCATTTATGAACACACGGGCCAGAAAACAAACAGCTTTTGCTCTCGATTTTTAAATGCTACGGTTGGAATGTGAATACCACTTTGTAGACTTTCACCAAGGCTGAAACAAAAATAAAAAATTGTTTTCTCATAATTGGTTGGCCGATGTCTAATAAGCGACTCTGTAGGTCATGAAAAAAAACCGTAGGGTAATTTCATAATCCCCCAAAACTAAGCCTTGACAGGACTAGCTAGGGGGTGGGGTTGAGGATCCAGAGCCACTTTCAAGCAATGGTTAAGGATTTGCATGAATCACTTTTAAATATCGCTGTACCTTGACGTACGAGTTTAAAAACAACGGAATAATGACGGAATAGTGAATACAATTTTGGGGAAAAAATGTGAAGATGTGAATCTGCAGTTGACGATCTGCGAGTATTCGGGGATCCGTTAGTTTTTATTTTCATTTTGACTTTTGTTTTTTTATATTACTTTTTGGTTTTTATTAGCTTTTTTTAATGCTTGGTTTTAGTTGAGTTTGTATTAGTTTTATTATTAGTTTTTTGCTTTTTTCAAATGTGGTGTTGTCAAGTGCAAAAAAAAAAAAAGTATTGTTACTAAAGTAAACTGCAATTGTCGAAAGACCGAGCTTCCTCCTTCTATATAGATAAACAGCAAGACTGAAATAAATACATTTAAAATGAACCCCGGCAGCTATATGTGTCATAAAAATTGACAAAGACGAAAACATTTTTGCTATAAGTACATTTAGTTTTATAAACCTGTGATGTCATTTTAGTTGGGGTTTTTTTTCTGATTTTGTTTTAGTTATGTTGTCAGTGTTTGTTGCTGTTAGTTTTCATTACGATCATCATCTTGGTCCCTAAATTACCTACATCAAGGTACCACTGTACAGTGTGATTCCATAGCCACTTGTGGCCCCCATGCGTGCGCCCAAACTCTCCAGGTGGGCGACCCCATGTCCTACCACAGGGAGTCGTGGATGATGGAGAAGGACGAGAAGCTGAGCACGGTGCCCCTCCTCCACATGCGGGGCAATGCGCTTGTCAAGCAGCGACAGTTCCAGGAGGCGGCCAGCGAGTACAAGGAGGCCGTGCTGCTGCTGAAAACGGTCCAGTCGAGGGTGAGCGCATGTGGGTGGGAGATGACATTACGGCGTCCTGCAGGGGATGGCGACCCGAGTCATAGCGACTGGGACTCGAGTCGAGTCAGTGTTTGGATGATTATTGATGTGACAAAATCACTTCCTTGCATTGAACAAAAACGGACACATTTTGACTCAGTAAAAGTCACATGTATATTCATCAATATCAGTTGATATGAAATCTAGTGATGGAAAAAAAAAAGCTGCCCAATGGTCGACTGGTTAGTGCGTCGACCTCACAGTGCAGAGGTGCAGGGTTCGATCCCGGCTCTGGCCTTACAGTGTGGAGTTTGCATGTTCTCCCCATGCCTGTGTGGGTTTTCTCCGGGTACTCCGGTTTCCTCCCACATTCCCAAAACATGCATGGCAGGCTGATTGAACACTCAACATTGTCCCTAGGTGCGAGTATGAGCTCGGATGGTTTTTCGTCTGTGTGTGCCCTGCGAATGGCTGGCAATCGGTTCAGGGTGTCCCCCGCCTACTGCCCGAAGGCAACTAGGATAGGCTCCAGCACCCCCCCGCCCCCCCGCGACCTTTGTGAGGATAAAGCGGATTGGAAAATGGATGGATGGACGGTTTGTGATTTATTTTGGACTTTAATTTGCTTTTGCAGCGTGACTGTTCTTCCTTTTGTCGGGTCTTTCTTTAAAATGATCTGTCATTGGTTCAAGAGAAATTTTATGTATCAAAAATACAAGAGTTGAGTACACATACTAGTATCAGTCTAAAAAAAAAAAAAATTATATATATATATGTTATCCAGCATCCCTAATTGATTTGATTGGATGCAAATGGAGCGGGAAGGGGAGGATGGAAGGAGTGCAGCTTTGATATGAAGCATTCAATCAGTCTTTTAATCAGTGCTCAAGGCTCTTAAAAAATTCAAAGATGCAGAGGCCAGCTCGCTCTTTCATTTTCCCTCCTTCCACATATGCATGCAGGAGATGCCAGGCGACGCCGACTACATGAACTTGGCCCGCCTGATCGTCCCCCTGGAGTTGAACTACTGCCAGTGCATGCTGGAGCTGCACGAGTACTACGAGGTGATCGAGCACGCCAGCGAGCTGCTAGACAAACACAAAGGTGGGTGGCGCACGGTTATCCCGTGTTTGCCAGGCGTTTTGACCGATTAGGCTAGCGTCATCTTATCAACTATCGGGCAGCAAACGTACATTCACACTCGACTCTTGGCTCAAGGATTTTTTTTTCTTTCCTAGAATAGTTATACATACATTTAGCAAGTCTTTCAAAGAGCTCCTTTGTGTCATATGATCGCAAAACCAATATATATTTTTTTTGTACAACGAGGCACGCTCGTAAGTTGGGACACTCTAATGTCAAGTCAGCACTGTCGTTTCCATTTGTTCTTTGTAGACTGCGTGAAGGGTTACTACAAGCGAGCCAAGGCCCATGCCGCCGTGTGGAACGAAAAGGAAGCGCGCCGGGACTTCAACATGGTGGCCCACCTGGACCCCACGCTGGCCTCGCTGGTCCACCGAGAGCTCAGGGCCTTGTCTGAGCGCATGAAGGAGAAGTACTGGCAGGAGAAGGACGCCTACTGGAACAAACTGGACGTCAAGGATGCTGCTGATGAAAAAGAGAAGAAGGAGTCGGTGGATGAGGAAGAGAAGAAGGATGCCCAGGTTGGAGATGAAGGCGGGAAGGACGATGGAGGTGATAAGACGGAGGGAAAGGACTGGCAGCAGATGTTACGTCTGGTGATGCTGCTCCAGGAGCAAGGGAACGTCCTGATGAAAGAAAAAGACTTCCAAGAAGCTTCTACAAAGTTCAAGGAGGCCTTAGATTATGTGGACTTCCTTCAAAATAAGGTTGGTGTGACAGTAAGCCCTCCAAAAATGCAAATTTACCTTGATGCTCACAGAAAACAACAAGGGACACATGCATGTCTTAAAGTTCTCATTTTACCATTAAAAAAAAACATTGAATTTTGAGCAGTGTGTGTGTGTGTGTGTGTGTGTGTGTGTGTATATTTGAATATGAATTTAACTTGTTAACCATGGTTCCACAATATACGTACAATACGATACAAATGAAAGTACTCACAAGGAGCACGGTGGTCATCACTGAACTAGCCGCATGGTACTTGGCTCTTTTTCCTTCCTAAAACGTTACAATGTCGAGGTATGAAATGTACGGTCCAAAAATATCAACGCAACACAAAGCTATGACAGCGACAAGCAACCTTCCTCTCCACTAGGCCCTCGTCCTCCTCTTGCTATAACTTGCTCACACCAACCACGCCATCCAATCTCCTCCAAAATCCATCACAGCTCTTATTTGCCCTCATGTCACCCCTTCCTCTCGGTCAAATGGCCTCAGCAGGTGCGTCGAGGCGATGAAGACTGGGAATCTTTGGAGAAAGTGCGGCTGCCTCTCACCCTCAATCTGAGCCAGTGCATGCTGGAGCTCCAACGCTACCTGCAAGTGGTGCAGCTCAGTGACAAGCTATTGGAAAGCCATCAAGGTAGTATGGAAGACTGTGTTGGTGTGGGCACGGGTGGGTGGGCGCTGGCACAGTCAGTGTTTTGATGTAGGAATGCATTTAAGAATGTTTTCCTCAGACGCACTTTTTAGAGTTGAAATATGAAAATTTCTCGCTCAGCTTGCGGCGGCATTTGCTTTCATGCCGCAGCAACGCTTGATCTCGCTGTTTTGTTTACAAGAGAAGACTCAAGACTTCTTCTCGGTTTCCCTTGGCAACTACCTGTGGGCACCACATTCAAAAATAGTTTCTCTTTTTTAGCAGCGACTCTAAAGTTAACTGCTAATTACACAATTGTTCAAAAGTTTGGTGTCAATTGGCTATGGCCTTACTTTTGAAAGAAAAGCCGTAGTGTGTTTATATTGACTGAACAGGCAAGTTTAACCAAAAGCAGCCAGTTATGGTTACAATGAAACTATGAACTGATGAATCAGTGCAACACGTGGAAATAAATCAGCGCACAACTTACCTTCATGGCTGACACGCTCCATTCTGCACCGAAGGCTTACAGCGATCCATTTCAACAAATGACTCAAATGTTATCTGATCTATTTTCACTTGTTATTGTTTTAAAAATATCCAGAACCTTGTCTACCCAAAAATGGTAAATTGCATTTTTTTTCCTTCACAAGTTCATACTGTTCGTCTGTCCTCACATCGTCTAAAGAGTGAACGTTTGCGGACTTTTTCAACAAAACTTTTGAAAATAATTGGGCTTGATAGGCCTGTTTTGTTGAAAATAGACAGCGGTTTGAACTGCACCCCCGCGCTCGTCCATCTTCATTTCAGGTCACTTCAAGGCACTCTACCAGCGTGCCCGGGCACATGCCGCCTTGTGCAACGAGGAAGAAGCACGGAAGGACTTTGCCGCCGTGGAGAAGCTGGACCCTCAGTTCAAGCCGGTCGTCCGACAGGAGCTGAAGAAGCTGGGCGAGAACCTCCGCAGCATGCACGCCCACCAGAACAAGACCTACTGGCTCGCCACGCAGGAAAAGTGGGGGCCCGGACAGGCCCAGAGGAAGACGTTCACACTGGAGCTTGGTGATAGCGAGAAGCGAGCGAACGAGATAAAGCAGAGCTGTAAAACCAACGAGGAGGATTCCGATAATGAAAACACTGCGAGCGCCGAAGTTACGACAGATCCCAATTAGGACGGCCGCAGTCTGACCACCGCCGCTGTTAGCGATAGCGTAGCCAGCAGGTGATCGGCTTGAGCTAAAAGCATGAAGAAGTTCAGACGCCAAACAAGAGCAGCGGAAATAAAGCGGCCAAGGTGATCAAACAGGGAAGGCCTGTCAGTCAGTCAGAAGAGAGCAATAAACGGGGGTTGTCTTGAGGAAGTATTGATTTAGCCACGAGCTAATCCAAATTCAAACACAAAGAGAAAACTAATATGATGAAGTTCTGTGAGTCATCTTCCTGTGCACACGCGCATGCACGCACGCATGCACGCACGCACACACACACACGCACGCACGCACACACACAGTGCAAGTCTCAGTGTTGGTTTTGGTTGAGGCTGGGAGGTAGGGTGGGGGGTTAGGGGTTTGGGTTAGGGATAGGGGCAGGGGGAGGGTTGGTGTCGTGTTCGGGTTGGGGTTGGCGTTCGGGTTAGCGTTAGTTGTTTAAGATAGGGATGGGTTAAGGTTGGGGTTTCGGGGTTGGTGTTAGGGTTCGTGTATGGGTCCTGGTTAGGGTAAGGGCTCGGGTGAGGGAGATAGGGGTAGGGGTCAGGGTTTGCTTTGGGTTAGGGTTAGGTTTAGGGCTAGGGGTTAAGGTTAGGGTTAGGTTTGGATTGAGGGGTTAGGTTTAGTTGTTAGGGGTTAGGACTAGGTGTTGGGGTTGTGGTTAGGGGCTTGGGTTGGAGGTTGATGTGGGGGAGTAGGGTTTGGATTTGCGTTAGTGGTTAGGGTTAGGGTTGAGTTCGCGTTAGGTTTCGAGGGTTAATGTTAAGGTTTGGATTGGTCTCGGTGTTGGGGTTAGACTTAGGGGATTAGGGTTGGTGTTGGGGTTAGGGTTAGTGGTAGAGGTTATGATTAGGTTTGGGTTTCGGGGTTAGTTTTAGGTGTTAGGAGTTGTTAAGTATTGGGGTTGTGGTTAAGGATAAAGGTTATTGTTCGGGTTGGGCTCAGAGTTAGGGTTACCACAAGGGGTTCATGTTCGGGTTAAGTTTAGGGGTTTGGTTTAGGTGTTATGAGTTCTGGTTGGCGTTGGGGTTCGGGTTAGTGTTAGCGGTTCGAGTTAGTGGTTAGGGTTGGGTTAGGGTTAGTGTTAGGGTTGGGGTTGGTGTCGGGTTCGAGAGTTAGTGGTTAGGGTTGGGTTAGGGTTAGTGGGTTAGTGTTAGGGTTGGGGTTGGTGTCGGGTTCGGGTTTGCTTTCGGTTGGAGTTATGGCTAGCAGGTTAGGTTTGGGTTTTTTTGTGCTACCTCTCAGAGATGTCATCAGCAAATTGAAAGGTTTCTCTTATCTCACTTGTACGTATACTGTATGACTTTCCGATTTATTTTAACCTTGATAGTGCGGATGAAACTGCAATTAAGGGCTGTATGTCATAGAGCTCATTTTGTCTGACTGGGACAGAAACTGAAGCATTAATTGTTGTAACACACAAAAATAAATAAATAAATGGCTTACAGGTGATTTAACTTATTTAAAAAGGTCTCACACACACACAAACACGCAGGAGTACAAATAGAAACTTTTTTATTTCTGTACACAAAAAGAGTAGAAAGCATCCAGTAAGCCAGCACTTTTCTTTACAATACAAAGTGTTCGTACACACTTCCAAAACACTGTTGAACCCATCAAAGGAATACATTGAAATGGTTAATGAGGTATATTCATGGTGATGTTACAATAGAAACGTATTCAACAGTAAAATGTGTTTGTGTTAAACTCACGTGTTAAGGTCGAACGGGTGATTGATCAATCACTGGATTGAAAGATTGATAGGATTCGGATTCACAATAGCAGAAATCGGGGCGGATATAATGACATGTTGGGTAAGCAAGTATGTGTGCAGTTTGTATGTTTATATATGTTGTCACAGTTTGGAATAACATGTTGATGAACATAACGTGTCCTAGCAGTCATTTGCTTGTACCAAGTACAACAGTGATTCTCAAACTGGGACCAGTGAACCAGAGTTTGAGTCTGTCAAATAATTTGAAGTAAGTTGTCATGTTGTTTCATTTTAAAAAGCACAAATCTATACTTGAGGGCCAGAGTGACACCTGAACAAACTTAATCGACATCTACCTTAGCTTGGGGCCATTTAAAAACTTGACATGATTGTGACATATCCTCAAATGAATCTGACATTTCCTCATGTATAAAGCTTTTTTATTTCTTCTTTTTATAGCGGTGGGAGGAGTAATATATTCTTAAAAATATAGTCCTATTTTGTGTGGTTCTCAATGTGTGGTACATGAGCTCCCTCTAGTGGTACGTGAAAGAATCACTAAATTAAATGTTCAACTTTTGTTACACGGGCTTGAGCCTTTTTTTTTTTTTTTTTTAATCCGGTACAGTAAATTTATTCAGTATAAGTAAGTAATATACACGTTCTTTTAATATTTCAAAAATGTCTTTAAAGGTTCGCCCTGTCCTAAAATGTCAGTTCAATGCTTAAAATATGAAGTTCATGATGTCACATTTTTGTTTGAAAACGATTACATTGTTGTATTTTTTATCGCGACAAAAGATGTCTAAGTCCTTGTAAAGATGATGACTTCTTTTTTAAAATTATTTGTTATTACTGTGTAATACAAATGAAATGTCCTGGTGTTTTGTAAGGAATGGTCAACAACACCACCACCAACGTTGATGAGGATCCTTGTGGCTGAACAGCTACAGGCTTGAAAGATGAAGAGAGTGGCCCTTTAGCGCATCCCGCTTACGCCTATTCGCATTTGTATGAGGAGCCCGTCACCTTCCGTGCAGCTGCATCCTTGTGGGCTGTTCCCTAGCAACCGCATCACAACGAACATGCCGACATCAACGGAGAGAATGACGTAAACGCGCAAGGTCAAAGTCTGCTTTTTCAGGTTCCAAATTGCATATTTTTCTCCACACAGTGGATTGTGTTGTGACAGGCCGATCAAAGTGCATCGCCCCCGGCAACAAGAAGAGTGAGGATTTTTTTTTTTTTTTTTATCCTCCGCCTTTTCTTGCTTGTCTGTCAGATCACTCTGAGAGGAGCCCCCCCGAGCATCATGGCTTCACACTCTTTTTGCAGCCTATAAACGGTCGCGATGTGTGCTTCTTCCCCGAATGGGTCAAAAGACCGCAAACGCTCAGCTTGGATGGATTTGCCGTGTCAGACATCATCACATAAGCCGAGCTGTTTTTAATTTTAATTGATTTATTTATTTTATTTTATTCAGAACAATATCAGAAACGCAATGAGCGAATACAGTACACACCTCCAGATTTTTAAATATCTTCAACCAATTTTTGAGGCATCCCGCAAAAATGGGCAAGGGTGTAATGATTGCTCTTGCAGAGCCTGATTTATCAAAATCGCTTGTGGGTGTGATTCACTTACGGAGAACCAATCACCGAGCTGATCAGAAGATGAACCAATCCATCCAATACATTTTATTTAAGAACTTGTTTATTTACTGTTGAGTCGACTTTCGCTATTCACGGAGGATTAAGAACGGACAAAAGTTGCCTATCACTAACGGCCACTAAAAAGCTTTTGGGACAAAAAAAAAAAAAATCACTTACCCTCTAAAATGTATCCCCAAAATGCAGATAAAAATGCAACACACAGAAAATGCGGCTGTAGGGGGCGATGCCTGAACATCTAAAATATAGGAGTTATTTATTTATTTTTTACAATAACGCTCTGTCAACCTTGAACGTCTTTTATGTCCTGCCCACGCCAACTGAACAGCGTTTACAGTCGGATGAAAACGTAATATGACATCAGTTCGCATAACTCCAGCCGATGATTTTTGAAAAGGCCAAGTATCAGCCTGCCATTAATCAATTCAACCGTAGTTTTGATGACGGTACTTGGTGTAAAAAGTTTGAGAACCGCCAACTTCGACAATTATCCAATAACGGTAAAGGGACGTGACTTGGTCCCACCTCGCCCTCTGGCTGTAAAAGTTACGTCGACGAAATGGGAGCCATCGTGAATCCATAATTGTAAATGACAATAGACTTCATTTGTGTCTTCGTTGAAGCGGCGCCTCGCCATCCATCGTATGAACGGACGCCGCGACTCGGTGAAGGGCGAACACGTGAGCAGCACGGCGGCAACGACAGTGACAAGCAATTGGAGAGGATTAGAGCGACGGTGTGTGCAAACAGAGGCGCAGGGCTAGCGGGCACTTTGGCTGTCGTACATAAATAAATCATGGATTGAAGTGATGGTGTGTCGCTCGGGCGGTGCAAATAAACTGCCGGCGGGTGCGGCGGGCGGCCGCATAACACAACCGCAGTCCGCCTCGCCGGGGAATACACGACAAGACAACCTCGCCTTTTGCATTTCTCACACAAGCTGAGATATTTGTGATTCCAGTGCAATATAAATGAAATGCTCCCCCTCCCAAAAAAAGAAATATATTGTTAAAACGATGCCTTTTTTTATTATTATTATGATTGATCACCTTGTTAGCATTCGCCTTTTGTTCGAATAATACTGGACACTTCATCTTTTGCAAATGATTGTTAGCCCCAAGCTATGACTTGCCTACCCCAGGGTGTCCGAGGACCCCAGTTTGAGAACCACTTGTATAAAGCTGCACACCTTTAAACAACACACACACACACACACACACACACACACACACACACACACACACACACACACACACACAGTGTCTCCTTCCACTTGGCTAACACGAGTTTAACTTTGGCCGGTCGACACGGCGTCGGGCAGCAGGCCATCAAGGAGCTTAGCCAGCCAGCCAGCCAGCACCGTTTGGACCCAACGGACATCAGCCTTATGCAGTTTGCATGATAAGAAGGCTTGTTAGTGCACAGAGTTGCAGTTCAGGGTTTAGCTGCTGTAAGGGAATCCGAACCGGGCCAGGCGGAGCTCCTGGAGCCCTGTAGGCATTCGTTTAGATGTGTGACGTGGTGCCTGAAATGAGCAAGAGGTGAGGGGGGTGGAGACAGAGAAGAGAGGCAGGAATGAGACTTTTATAGATTCTTTATTTGTGAATTTTTCATTTATTGGAAGATCTTTTGCTTTGCTTTTATTTGAAATGCAATTTCAAAAGTGGCACGCAAAAGAAAAGCATGTCGACATTTTGCATTTTGTTCTCTTTATCAAGCCAAAATCAAATAAATTGTCATATTAAATTTTGAGGTAAAAAATGAAATGGATCCCGTTTTGGAACAGAGCTGTCACACACAGTGTGTGTGGTGGTGGTGGTGGGAGGGGGGGGTGTTAAGCCCTGTGAATACTTTCCGGATGCGCTCAAAATGCTTCATTTTTAGAACATTGTCATAATTTTGAGAAGAAAAAAAAGGAATGAATTCCATGCTGGCAGAAGGAGGCTGTAACATGCATGGCATAAAATGTGGAAAAAT